GTATGGGTTACAGGACAGAGGAGGAACAAATTAAACACTGCCCTGTGTAAATGGCACCTCTAATTCCTCTGAGCTTCACCCAAACGAGCATTACAAAATGCCATTGCTATGCCTCCTTCGCAACAATGAAGGCTCTTCAGCTGAAGGTGAATAGAGTTCTGTAACTGATAGTATTGGTCAGGATTGGAGCTACATTGTTGGCCACCGGCACATGCTTTGAGTTATTCAGCAACTTTAAGCAATGCGGCACATTCATACACACGGGGTCAAGGACAAAAGGATTCTCTGCATACATTTTCTAAACAGGAATCCGATCCTGTTACAAGGCCTCTGACTCCTTCTGGAACAAGAGTACATCTCACAGACCCACGGGAACTCCGATCGGACAACATGGCTGCAACACAGTTCCTGTTGATTAACCAGGAATTATGCGGTGGGAGGGCTGGGAGGGGGGGGGTCGGGGAGTAAGGATTCCTACTAAGAAGACCCTCCCTCTCGCATAAATTACACCCTAAATTCTCCCAAATCCATTTTCTCTCACCATGACAAACGTTTCGCCCACAAAATATACAGTAAACTACACTTGACAGCATATTCTGTGAAGCGCATTGAGACATCCGAGGGGATAAGGCGCTGTATAAAATGCAAGGATTATTATAAGGATTATATATTACAGAATGCCATTGCTTTGTACCCTTTGCCCAATGAAGATGGGGGTTGGAGGCAGGTCAGGACTGGGGGAAAAGTAAGATATCAGACCTACATCCACCATTGCATGGCACTCTATTAGGTGGTACATTACTGTACTTGTCACCGCAGCACAAACAGCCTTACTAAATAGAATATACTTGAAGGACCGACCAGCAAGTGGCAGAAGTAACCGGCAACATAGGTCAGAATAAAGTCGGCCAAAAACACACTGACAGCAGTCTAGACAGCAGCGATGATTCACAACCAACAGTCAGTTTCTCACTCAATAAAATCTCCTTGGAAACCAGACAGAACAGCAGGGTTCTGAAATATGACAAAGTCCTTTTTAAACTCACAACTAAACTTTCCTAGCGAGCAGCACCACTTCATAACATTACGTAACATAACATGTAGGAGCAGGAGTAGGCCATTCGGCCCTTCGAGCCTGCCCCGCCATTCAATCATAGCTGATCTTCTAATCTAACTCCAGCTGCCTTATCCCCATATCCTTTAATCCCTTTTGCAATAAGAAATCCATCTATCTCAGTCTTGAAGATGTTCAAGGACTGAGCGTCAACAGCCCTTTGGGGTAGTGAGTTCCATACATTCACAGCCCTTTGAGTGAAGAAGTTCTTCCTCAACTCAGTGCGAAAGGGCTGCCTCTGATTTTAAGGTTGTGACCCCTGGTTTTAGTTTCTCCAACCGGGGAAACATCTCCCACTATCTACTCTATGCCCTTTGATGATCTTATAGGTTTCTAATTCTTCTATATTCCAGAGAATATAGGCCCACATTGGTCAGCCTCTCCTCGTAACTCATCCCCTTCACCTCTGGCACTAACCAAGTAAATCTACGCTGCACCCCCTCCAAGGCAAGTACGTCCTTCCTTAAATGAGGAGACCAAAACTGGGCACAGTATTCCAGGTGTGGTCTCACCAGGGCCCTATACAGTTGCAGCAAGACTTCCCTACTCTTATACTCTAATCCTTTCATAATGAATGCTAACATACCGTTCGCCTTCCTAATTGCTGCTGCACCTGCAGACTAACTTTCTGTGATTGGTGTACAAGGACACCCAAGTCCCTCTGGACGCTAACACATTCCAATCTCTCCCCTTCTAAAAAATAACCCTCTCTACCGTTTTTGCTCCCAAGGTGGATGACTTCGCACTTCCCTACATTATACTTCATCCGCCACCTATCTGCCCAATCACCTAACCTATCTATGTCGCGCTGCATTTTTTAATGTCATCCTCTGTGTTGACACTTCCTCCTAGTTTTGTGTCATCTGCAAATTTAGATATATTAACTTCAATGTCCTCATCAAGATCGTTGATGTAGATGGTAAATAGCTGAGGCCCAAGGACTGATCCTTGTGGCACTCCACTAGTCACATCCCGCCAATCTGAAAAGGACCCGTTTATCCCTACTCTTTGTTTCCTACCCAATAACCATTCCCCAATCCATGTTAATATGCTCCCCCCAATTCCATGGCCCCCTATCTTTTGGACTAACCTTTTATGCGGCACCTTATCGAATGCCTTCTGGAAGTCCAAATAGACCACATCCACTGATTCACCCTTATCCAGTTTACTGGAAATATTCTCAAAAAACTCTATGAGATCCGTCAAACATGACTTCCCTTTTGTAAAGCCATGTTGACTTGACCTAATTATATTGTGCCCTAAATACCGCACTACCACATCCTTAATCAATGATTCTAAAATTTTTCCTATCACTGATGTGAGACTAAGTGGCCTATAGTTCCCCATCTTTTCCTTTCCACCTTTTTTAAATAGTGGTGTGACATTTGCGATCTTCCAATCCATGGGGACTGTTCCAGAATCCAAGGAATTTTGGAAGATCAGACATAAGGCCTCCACTATCTCATAAGCTCCCCCTTTTAAAACCCTGGGATGTGATTTAGGTTTAACCTAACCGCTACTTTTATATTAAAAAATTAGCTTAAACAGTTCAAATAAATTGCTGTTTTTCATTCCCTTTATTCTGATCATGAATTTGGAGTCCTTACGTTTGCAGCACAAGCTGGATTACCTGGTTTCAATTCCCGATGATTCTTCGATGCTGTATCAAATGCAAGAATTATTATTATTTTATTATAAGAAGCTACAGTAAGTATTTGGGCCCACATAAAATGAAAGGGACTGAAGGTGCCCAGTTTCCATCACCGCCCACATTGGTAGCACATTCCTTTTGTTTAATTTTAACACAGCAAACCGGGGGCAGGGTGGGGATTAACATACCTCTGTAGATACAACAACAACTTGCATTTATATAGTGCCCCCCACGCCAAGCGGCATCTCAGAGCCCTTAAAATATAGTCGGTTCGTATTCATGGTTGTGATATAATTGGGCTGACACTAGGAAGATGAGTCTCTCTCCTCCCTGGAGTTTTGGGTGTACTGTACAAACAGATAAGAGGCTTTGCTCAGATGAATGCAGGGTTGGTGCAGCGTCTTGGCAAAGAATTGGAAACAGATTGCCTTCCTGCCCGACTGCCTGCATTCCTCACTCAGAGAATGGCGTCTGGGATCTGGGAAAAGAGAGAGAAAGCAAAGGAGGTGCCGTGCAGAAAATGCTTATAAAAAAAGGATTCCAACATATTCCTTCTAACACACATTTGACTCATTTTAAACTCCCGTCCCAAGCGAGGGATTATCAGCTAACGAAAGTACTCGCTGCAAAGAGAAACCTCGAATGAGACTTATTGCACACAGGACGAACAGTACAGTTCCACCAAACAAAACTGAGAGCCAAGGAAATGGAAGCTTATGTTGGAAGCTGGAACAAGGTGGATGAAAAGCGTGCAATTAAACTGAAGTATTGGGTTGTCAAGATAGATTGCTTTAGCAGAGGCAACCATATGGGTTTATATATATATATATATATATACTTAAATAAGTTACAGAGTGGTGATTGATTTTTATAGCAAACCATCTTTTGCCTGACACCAGCATTTTTTTTTGTATTTTTGCAATCGCTAAATTCATCTGAAGAGAAATTGGCTTTAACAGCAGAGTGGATGTAAAAGGCTAATGTAACAATGCATATTGACCCGAGCTAAACACGCAGATCATAACCAAGGACGCAATCTCCTTGACAGGTGAACACATTTATTTAAGCATTCGCTAGGAGCAGTCACACACCCATATGGTTCCATCCAATGAGAAATGCAGGGCTTCTAAACAGACTCGATGGGTTACCGATCTCCAGTGACAATTATCAAGTGCGGTGAGAAAAACGTCGATTATTCACAGGAATTAAAGATGTGAAATCACCAGTTTCATTGCCTTATAAATCACAGTGAGCAACTCAAATCCAGTGTGCGAGTGTCCGATTTGTGACCCTGAACATAATTCAACATCAACCTCAGAATCGAATTGACTACTTCTGCGTAAGATCTCCATTGCAGCAGCCTCTCTGATTGAGATTGACAATTTAGTGCCACTTTGTACCAAATTAGCAGCTAATTTTAGGCAGTGGGACCCAGGCCCATCTAGAAATTGTCCATTAATTTCACTTAGCATTCTCACAGCTGAGAGAGGAGACTTATCTGGTATCATTCTGGGCTACATTCCAGCCCACATCCCAGAGGTGAAAGGACAGCTTGCTTTTCTAACCACTTCCCCAGTCTCCCAGGCCAAATGATACAGCACTCGTTTCTCATTATATATTGGCAAAAGGCACGTTGGTACAAAAGAAACAAGACGTTGATTTGATACCCATTAACTTTCAACTAAAAGAAAACACGTTATTTCCATTCGAATTCAAGTTCTCGGATCTTAAAGCCAAGCTTTCAGCGATGGGCAGATCAAAGGTTGAAATATGAAAAAAAAAGGCACATCAAAGCCAGAAAGAGATTGTGCTTCAAACTGTACCAAAAGAATGAGTGAGTGGCTCAAGTGGTAGATCTAATGCACATACACACTTCAGTATGCATCTTATTGATCCCTTTATTATTCTCTCGGTCTTTTTTTTGGCCATCGGAACAACACCCTTGAAACACTCACTGCTCGGTATCACACCATCGCTGCTGGCTTCAAAGCACTCAATAATGGAGCATAACTGCCTACATGTTGCATGATTTAAAAAAAGTAACCTTCTTACGAGTCAAATTCCGATCCCATGCTTATCTCACAAATAGTCGTGGATTGAGTGACCAAAATTATTATTTTTTTTTTAAAAAGGGATTATTATCCCCCAGAAAAGGAATCTACCAATCGACTAACAACCAGGTTCCTATTTGCTGCTGGGTAAACAGAGGAGTGTGGAGTAAGGAAACTTGCTTAATGTTTCTTCCTGCCCGGGAATTGAACCCAGGTCCTCCCGCTCATGGGGCGAGTGCTCTAACCACTGAGCTACAGAACTCCACATACACTGCAGGACATGCGATGTAATAAAATCAGAACAGTCCATATAACGGCTCAGTGAGCAATAGGCAGATTTACTGTTTTCTGTATGTTATAAACCTCAGGGCAACAACAGGAATTTGTACTTTTGGTGTTCAGCAAGATGACAAGATAGGTTGGAAGGCATGGATTTCCGTGGTAAAAGGTTATCATTGAATCATGTTCTCTGCATGATTTATGAGTCTGAAGTAAAGTAGGTGAGTTCCATAGACCAATATGTTCCTAGAGTTATTTGTACTATCTGTCACCTGTTGCCACACATAAATTCACATTTTCATTTCAAAACGTCGCCTCTGGTAGCAGGAGACCTGAAAAAGCATCATTGGAGGTCTAACAAGGTGAAAGATTTATTCAGAGAGACGAGATGTCAACCTTCCTCTTCCACTGTGAGCACGGGCAGAAGAGGAAGGTCTTCAGGAATGAACTGAAGATGGAGAAAGAGGGAGCAAATTTGGAAAAGGGAGCGTAACGAGAGGAAAGGTTGAAGAGTGGAAATTGCAAATAAGGAGACAGGCTATCAAGGGCCGCTCATGGCATAAGCATTGCCTGAGGGAAAATAAAGCACAACAAATGAACCATTGGCTTCTGGAAACACATAAACACTAACTGTTATCACAGGAGATGTTGAGTCATTGTGTCTGACCTTCACAGTCCACTTTGTTCCTCAAGGGCTAGGAGTGGAACACTGTATACTGGAGACAGATTGCGTGTCCTTTATATAGACAACCTTATATAGACGATTGAGCTCAATTTTGGGTGCCCTGCCACAAACTACATACACGGGCCTTGTGACAACTCATCAGAATGATACCCGGAACGAAGGGACTTAGCCAGAAGTCGTTGGGTTAATTTAGGCTGTAGTCCTTGGATCCCAGATAGTTAAGTAATCGGACTTGAAATGTTTCAGCGAACGAAGGGAATTAATACGGTCGATAAGAGACGATTCTTCCCTCCAGTACACAAATCCGGAACAGGGTGAAAATAATATTGAAATTAAAACTAAACTGATTAAACCCACCTGAGGGATTTAAAAGGTGACAGCTCTTACCCCTGGGTTAGTAATGGCATTGAGGAAACATGGAGAAGAAGCGGACAAATTTAATTAAAATATAATGTTGTTGGTCTTCCAGTTAACAGTGTATCTGATAAGTGTAGTAAATCTATTAGGCTTGGGTGTTCGCCAATTACCACAGCAAAGCCCTGTGAGGTACCTGAAGCTGTACAGTCTGGACAGCTGCAACCATCTCGCAAGGAACACTGTTCACTGCTGAGTTCTCAACCTTGGTATGCAAGGACTAAGACAACTCCATCTCACAGGACTTCACAAGTCGTTTCCCAGGACAGATCCCGTTAGGCAGCACAGCCGCATGGAAAGTGCAATCGTTTTCCTGCCAGAAACAAAAAGAGGTCAAGGCACTTTGCTTTATTTATGTGCTGATCACCTTCCACTTTGTCAACTGCGAATTTATTGGAGTTCACATCAGGCATTTCAAAACTGTGCTTGAAACTCGAGAAAATATTAAGTTTAAGCAGCACTTTCTCTGTCTCAGGAGTTTAAGCTACTGAACAGAACTCTCTGACATTGCTGCTGTGCACAGCTTTTTATTGACCTTCCTACTTTTCGAAAAGTGATTTTCCACGTTCAGAACTAAACCAGGTTAATTTAAATGTCAGAAATTTGGGAGTATCAATTCATTCTCGCTTTGTACCATGAACCATATTTTAAGTCTCTAGTGATGAGGCCTTATTTTTGTGCTAATTGTAATGTATCTTAAAGAGAACAACTTGCATTTTTAAGGTGTCCTTCGCATTGGATTACATCTCAGGGTGCTTCACAGAGACGGGGTTGGACATTGAGCAAGGGGGTGGCGGGTCGGGGGGGGGGGGGGGAGGTGACTATAGACACAGTTGAAGAGATAGGTTAAAGGAAAAAAAAGACAAATGGAAAGATTCACTTTGTTTTGATAGTTGTGTGGTAGTTTAAGCCTCATTGATCTGATACCTAGCCACAACTTAATGTAGTTAAGTCCAATGATGGACATCGAGTTCAATGCAAAATAATATTGGGCAAATTGGTCCCATTGGCGTAGACTCTACATATGACAAATACATTTCCTACTCCGTGTTAACATATAAATCTTAATACCTGCGGCAATAGCGTTCTGTTTCTTATTGCTCTCTCTCCACAACTAAAATGAGCAACCACAACATGGCAGCTCAGGTGTGCGTCTAATCCCCTGACAATATGATTGACGTCTTCCTAGTAGTTTTCCCTAAAAGAAGCAGGATTTTAGTGCATATCCAATTACTCCCAAGTGCTTATTATCGGTGATTTGCAAGAGTTCACATCACCAGAAGCCAACGCACGCCACTGTTTAGTGTTATGAACAGCAGCCGAAATGACAGAAGCTGATAACCTCTTAACTGGTGCCTTTTTAATTGTTCCTCTGCAATATACTGCCCAGCAATGGGAACGTCAGGAACAGAACAAAAGAACAAAAGGCATCGCTATCCTCAGATGTCACCCAGAATAGTCTTTGAGGATGTCAGTGCGTTGAGCGTTAGAGCAGGGATTGGGGACTTCACCTGCAATATTGTCTGTCACTTGACAGATGAGACATGTAGTGTTATGCTGGACTCTGTATGTGAGAGCAATCTCTGGAGGGCTGTCGCTGTTAAAATCAGCTCCATGGAAACCGAGCTCCAGTTTATAGCAGCGCACTGCAACATGAATCACATGCAGAAATGAATAGTCTCCTACTTGCTGTCTGCTAAACCTCTTCGGTATATATTTGAAAGTCAACCTTTTGAGAGAACCATTCTCTACCCAATTATTTCCTTGCACGACTGGTTTATTAAGTGTTGTTTAATGAATTTAATGCTGCATTTATACAAATGTAAATGGTATTTTGTTGTAAACAATAACCCATGCATTTGATAATAGCACCTTTCATGTCTCAAAATTCTTCGTAATATTTGACTGTAAAGCGTAGTGACTGCGTGTTTTGCAGGCGAAATAATGCCTTTTAGCTTTTGGAAAGCAGTTTCCTATTCAGGAAACCTGGAATCTTGGATCAAACTTGATTACCTTCCAAGGGTAAAATGTACAACACAAATTGACATTTATATGCGACCTCTCACATCTGGAGGACATCCCAAGGCGGTTCTGTAGGTCTGGATGTGGAGAAAACATGGACGGAATACAGGGGAATCTGCATCAAAACTCGGCAGAGAAGAGTAGAGCGCAGGCAGGATTGGGAATCCAGGCCTGGGGGTACACAGCCCATCCTCGCCCTCCCCTTTACTGGCTCTGTGACCCCCTCTGTGACATTGGCAAAGACATTGTGACACGGCCAAGGCGAGGCGGGGGTCAAACCTCTCCGGCCAATCCCTCTGGAGGAATGGACTGGGGAGCGATTGTCTTGTGGAACACTGCTCGCGTTACCAGCTCAGGGCTCCCGCCCCGTGTTCTGAAGTCTCCAGGTGCATCTTTTTAATTTAAAGGTAGCTTCGGATGGAATGCGGTGATGCAAAAAAAATGACACTCACGGGGAGAGTCTGCAGCGAGACACACCATCTTTGAGAATAAGAGCAGCATTTTAAAACCTCTCTCCCTCCCCACCTCCCCACCCCCCCCCCGCCCCCCGGGGAAACGATGAGCAAGAAAGCCCCAAAGTATTTCCCGTCGCTCTACGACACCAGCAGTAGCGCCTCATCTCTGAACAGCTTCAATATCTGGAAGAACCTGTTCCCCACCCAGGAGATCACCGACAACAAGAGCTCCAAGGCTTCCCTGTGGCCCCGCGGGCTGGCGGACAACCCCTACGAACCCCTCAAGTTCTTTGCCCCCCCGGCGGGAGGGGAGTCCGCCTGGAGTGAGCTGGACGAGATCTGCGAGTTGGACATCAGACTGAAGGAAATGGAGCTTCTCACGCTGACTGGAGATGGGTTTGATTTGAGGAGATGTGAGTAGTTCCAACGTGGAGACCTTGTACCAAACTTAACGCCTCTTAAAGTGAGATTTTGTTAATTCCCCCACAACCACAAACCCCACACCCACTTGGTACTTTTTTTAAAGCTGTTCTCTCATTGGTTATTGTATTTCCAATTCACAAATAATATGTGCAGGGCAATCAGTCTTAAAATAGCTAGAGAGGACGTCACAATAGCTTTGGTAAATGGGATGGGCAGTGTTACTGGAGCAGTGCATTCTATGGCTTTTAGTTGAAACCTTTGTGCCTTTGCTAGTTTATTTCATTCACCTTTGTAGAGGAGGAATGAATAGCTAATAACAGTGACTCTTGCATTTGGTATAGCGCCTTATCAAGTCGTTTTTAGTTGTTAAACTGTAAAGTATAGCGACCGTGCGTTTGTAGGTGAACAGGACAACAGCAGGTAAACAAGTGATGCTTCCCCCAATCGCGAACATCATATGGAAATTGTGGCTTTACTGGAGAGAATAACTCATTCAAGAGAGGACAAGGCAAAGATGCATCATTTAAATGTTGGGCTAAAATTTCCTGTGTCGTATTTCCTGTGCCCCTTTCTCTGTGATGCGAATTGGATTGAAGCAGCCGGTGGATTAATAACTTGTGTAGTTTCTACATTCCTCGATTATTACTATGATTATTACTAATTACTATGAATATTATTAGTGATTATCAGTAATATTATATTAATATTAATAGTGGAACCCAAGCTGGAAGATCTCTGCTTTCCCAGATGAGGAAAATATTTATTTTATCCCCAAAAAAGTTCCTATGTTGGGCGCTGCAGTGATTCACTGACCACCTTAGAAAAACACTGTCTCATAACAAATTTGATGCGATACATTTCACGTTCTGACCCATTATTGAAACGCTGTGAGCTTTACTAATTTATTAGCCAAATGTTGGCTTCAAATCTCTTTTGCTGAAGTGCGATCACCTCTCAAGGAAGTGTGTAAGAAAAAGTTTCTACGAACTGTCTCGGTCATCGTGCAACAGAAAGTTAATAATAATCCTTGTATTTGATACAGCGCCTTATCACGTCTTCAAAACGTCTCTAAGCGCTTCACAGAATATACTGTAAAGTGAATTGACTGTATTTTGAGGGTGAAATGAATGATATTTAATTAATGAACGCACCCTCTCAACAGATAAGTTTCTAAAGATGCTGAAGGACGAGAAGATGCAAGATATCAAGGCCGCAAAGGAGAAGAAGAAACAACTACTGAAGGACAAAGCAAAGAAATGGTAGCTTTCAGCTTCAGTTAGGAGGAAGGTTGAGCACCCAAACTCACACTCAAACTGACTGCAATGCAATATAACTTGACCTGCAGATATCTAACACATGCACATTAACAGAGTGAATTAATTGAGGGTTTTCTTTGTTCGTATTAGTAACTACACGCCTGCTTTCTCTCACTTTTAAAACAAGTTAAACCCACAAGAGAATACGGCATCAACCACAGCCATTTCTAATGCCGTAGAAAAGCAGGACGACCTAAGATATCAATTACCCATCATTTAAAGCTCCTTGGTTTCTAATGAGATAAAGCACACCTTAGTGCTAACTGCATCTCCTAGAGGAAATCTTGTAATGAGGGGCAATTTGTACTTAGATCAGAACATTGAGTTGTTTTCTCCCTCGAGTTTAATCCACTCAAAGCCTTTGTATGTACCACATCCTGCAATAAACATGTTTTGAATTTGCCGCAGGCTGAAAAAAATAATCCCCCTGCAGAGTGACCTGGCCTGCTCTTTACTGAACACATCAATGTGGCTAAGTAATACAAAATCCTCCAATTCTCAGTTAAGCGCTCACTGTTTTGTAAGGTTTTTTTNACATTCAATTACCCCACCCTCCTCCCCATGGATTTTTTGTATCATTAGTAAAAAACTGAATGAAATCTTACAGTTAAGTGATAAGATACGACACTAATTAATAACCCACTTTAGATTTGAATACAATAAATAACGATTCACATACACTGCACTTTATTCATACACAACACTATTTTCTCTGCTGTTACGTCTTGGCTCAGTTATAATTTAAACGTCTACGTTAGTTCCTTCAAGTCTTTGATCCAAATAGATTTTATATTTTGTTCAATGTTGGCCATGTAGCTTGTAGCCCAAACTCCTAGTAGCTGAGTACTGATATGCTTTTGTTAACACCCAACTGTATAATAGGATAGGAACCAGTTGTACCATCTGTACCAATATCTAGATCCAACTATGGGGATGGGGCAGATAATATATACAAACCTTCCTCTATCAGGCAGATTCCTTCTCCACACGCCCTCTTCTGGTTAATCTTCAAGGAGTGAGATCACACGATTTCCAATCATCAGACACAATCGTGTTATGAAGGGATCTGTAGATCACATTGGCTAATCTGCAAAATGCTTCAATTCCTAAAAGGCACCAAAGCATAAGTCAATAATACCAGACATCTGTGCTTTTGCTGATCCGGTCGGACTATTCTCCTCAAATCGGCCATTCTTTAGGGATTCACTGGGTAATCACACAACTTCACATAAAACTTCACGCAATGGAAACAGCGTTTTGCATTTCTATTTAAAGTAAACTCATTTTTTTTGAGGGGGGGGGAGGCTTTTTTTAAAAAAGCAGCGTTGAGCATCTTGTTGCATTACTCCTACTGACACATTCTTAAAGCTTCTGAACTTCTGAAGGCAGGTTTGCTTTTAAAGGTTTCACAGAAAAAACTTGGTAAAGCGGCAAAAGGCATACCTTGTGATAGAATGTGAGAGGCACAGGGTTTAGATTCAACGGTCTGAAGAGTTGTACAGTTTAATGGAATTACTTTATACACATGTCTGTAAGAAGTGTAAAGTCATATAATATAGTCAGATTGTAGTTGCGAAGTTAGAATTAAGATTAAGATTTTTTTTAGAACTGATAACTAAAATAACAAAACTGTAACATGCTGTATAAAGAGTGTAATAACTTTTTGGATAAGATGTAAAACATGGTGGCATTACCATAGATTTGTGGAATAGTATTATCAGAAGATAATTTGATACTGCTTTTATAGGGAAGAAATACTTAGTGGTGGGGCTGTTTATTAATTAATTCAAAATAAGAACAAAACAAGTTAATTAATTAATAAATCTTTGGTACTTCTGTATAAGTGAATTATATAAAATATTGAACGTATAGATCTTTGGTGGATGTAATGTAAAAGTTAGCTTTGTACTGTACAATATCAAGGTTTTTTTTTAACAAAGATTTGGAAATACTGGAAATATGTGTAGATTACTTGTGAACCACCGAGGATTTTGTCAATACTTTGGTGGTGAACCTAATTAATGTATGTAATGTAAGATACATAGATAAATAAAAGCACATTTCTATCTCTTAAATCTCATGGCTTTCTGGCGGTTCAGTTCCTTCCTTCTGTTCATATGAGAAGCAAAATGTTCAATTGCCTAATTACCCTTTCAGGTTCAGCAATGAATACACAAAGAAAGTTAAAAACGCGCACAGCAAACCAGAAAAAAAATCCCCCAAACTAAACAGAACTTTTCCTTTCTAAAAAAACATCCAGTTTATCTTTGCCTCTTTATATCCGCATTTCCAGCTTTCTCACCTGTACAAAATATTGGTAAAACACACCAACCCTCAAGCCTTTCTCTTGTGATACTGCATTTGTAGTGCATAAGGTGTGGTTGGTACTGAATTGTAGCCATACATGCAGTATAAGTCATGAACATACGAATTTGCCAGCCAAAAGAAGACCAAGGTCCATCTGGTTCGCCTTCCACCATCCTGGCCGTTGCTTGATATGCTTAAGCTTGGAATTTGAAAAAAACAAACTATCGAACGAACTATCCTAAACTGCTGGCGGAGTTATAAAAACAGTCAAGAAAGTACTCTTTAATTACCGAGCACAGTCAATCAAAAGAAACCGTGGCTAAAAGCGGAAACATTTACTCTGTCCTGACATGGGAAATGTATTGCTTTGACATTATCAGTTTCTAAAAAAAATGATCAAACCTCAAGGGAAATCAGAATAGGTTCTGATGGTTCAAGATGTAATTTTAAAATTACATTCACCTCAGTGATTCCACTGAGCTTCACAATGGTCTGCCTGCCATATCCATTCATTTGGATTGATTTATCAGCCACACGATTGCTGGGTAAGCAATCTGGATAAAGAACTTGTGTCAGAGGAACTCAGCGAAATGTATCACTGGTCGATTAGCAAGCGTAATTGTGTTAAGAAATGGATTGAATCTAAGTACGTGCCGATCCCAGCCCAACACTAATTTAGAACGAGGCACTTGTTTTGTACGAGTGATCATCATCAACTCAGGCACAAAATTGCACCCACGTGGTGGTATCTTGCTCAGATCATCTTATCTTAAAATTCAAGTTCCCACAGAATTGGGGAAATCTCTTAAACGCAGTCTTCGTTTGGTGGAGGAGTGATTCTGACCTTTCATCAGGAGCCGCTGGATACTGTATCTAACCAGCTCTCACTGAGAGACAGGTATCTGGGACACTACCCCACGTTCAGGTACTATAGAAATGCAAGTTGCTGTTGTTCTTGTATCCAGGACTGCTGTCGCTTGTCGTAGAGGTAAATGTTCAGTTCTCTCATTGTACTTCAGCCTCAGAACAGAATGCACAAAAACACAATTACATGCCCAGGAAAAACGATCATAGAACCAAACCGAGGAAACCAAAACAACAAACCAATTGATCTTTACTTCTTTAAATCTTCATATCCAGACCCTCCCCCCCACCCACCGTTTCATCCTTTCAGTTGTCCTCCCTGAATTGGGGCCAGCGATGCGATGAGAAGACCTTGGCTCACAGTGGCAGCCGAGACTTCCCAACGTCATACATATTTACCTGTTTGTCAGTCAGCTCTCCCGGCTCCTTTAGCTGCTGCTGAAGGTGGGGCGTGTACTGTAGATCATATTGAAAAGAAGCAGTTTATCCAATAGCACACAATATTGTGGCCCAACACATCGAATCCTGCCTTGGAAGAGAATCAGAGTACGGTTGGAATAAGTTTTCTTGGAACCAAATGTAAATATCTTTTTATTATTAAAACGCAACTCTGTCCGCGGTTGCAGTCTCCACTTGATATTCCTGTTCAGCAGTTTTGCCTGGAATTAATTCTGAGCAAAATTGCGCTTCAAAGCTCACCGAAGCACCCTCTTCCCCCCCACCCACCCCCCCCCACCACCACCCACCCGGCTTTCACCAGCACAACTCACATCTATCAACACTTCGCTCAGCTCTTGGCGAAACAAATGGCAACGTCTTAATTCATTTAGCATGCAACGTACGTCCGACCTTATCCACTTACAGTGAAAACAACAATTTCTATTCTTCCATCTCGCGAACCGTGAGGCACGAAAACATACAGGTCAGTAGGAACCGAAGCTTCCAGTCACACAATGCTGAAACATCTTGGGCAATATTCAGCTTCTTAATCATGTTCTTTAACTCCAGTCCATCTGCCAGAAACAGTCTTGGCTTTTCGAGTCTTTCAGCTAAGGTTATGCAATGCATAGAGGGGAAGGGGCCATATGTTCTTTGGATGAGTCTTTGAATCAGTGTTCGGATCAGAGCAATAGATAGAGCCAGAGTTCAGCTTCCTTCATCATGCCAATCAGCTGCTCAACGACACCCTCTTTGCCCAGCAACCGATACCCAGCACTCCCAATACACTAACGTCTTGTCCTAGCCGAGTAAACGACACTTCACTCTAAAGGAGTTTCATAGTACAAAAGACATTGAAAAAAAACTGTACAGTGCAGGCAGAGAGATTCAATGGTTAGAGGGATTGCTCTGCCACTGCACGCAACAGTTCTTAACCCGTTGCATTAGTTGCATTACATCGATGGACCTGCCAGAACGCACGGCTACAGTACAATTCATCTGGTTCAATACAAAGGGGAGAGAGTAGACAATCGTTCTGGGTTTGCATTGAACTATGAAAATTGCATGATTGTAACGGGTATTTTCAGGCAACGTGAGTGACAGACATCAAGCACGTCCCCAGAACACTTTAACACTTCAAATTTCTATAAAAATACACCTCTCCTACCACCCACACCCCTCCCACCCACCAAAAAAAAACTAATTTATACTGAATCTGTAAATTTCCATTGATCTGCTTTTTTGGGAATGTAAAACATGCAAATTTGTAAGACCTCAATACTTTGGCTTCCACTGTGCTCCTCATTATCTGATTACTATAAATCCTGTGATGCACTTTAAGATGTTTGCCTGAAGTGAAAGGCACTGTATTAAACACAAGGATTATTATTATTGTTATTAATATTTAGAAGTACTGGGTGGCACTCAGCAGAGATGGCAGAGGAGAAGCTCTAACAGAAGCAGAGGAGCCGATTCCCTCTCTTTTGCGGAGTTAGTTTTCTCTGAAGAATATTAAGCTCCCATTCTCCCCCGCAGCCAAAATCACCTCAGACGGAGTGTGTGAGACGTGGCAAGGAGGAGACAGCAAATAATTAAACCCAAATTAAATCCAAACAATTCCTATTGAATTCCACGGAGCAGCTTGAGAGTTCCTGCATTACCAGTGGTGATACTGTCATTAACCCATAAACTTATTCCCCCCCTCCCCTATGTAATTAACTGTAGAACACATTCAATATGAACCATACATGTAGAAAAAATGGATCACCAGTGAATAGAGCAGGAAAGACCACAATTTAATCCGGAGGCTCGATTGACGCTTGTAAAATGTTCGAGCTTCAACAACTTGTGTTTAATAACGTTCAGAATTCTCCTCCAACCCCCCCACCCCCATATGAAACAACCTCCCAATTATTTCAGTCATGTTAAAGATCCAGCGTTCAATGAGGTTGAAAGGCAGAGATTATTAAACTGCTACGGGCATCGAGCCCTTTGTTGCAGACATCAGTCTCAAAAGCTGTAAACCCAGAATAAATCCTGTGCTCAAATGTGGCTCCGAATGTGTCAAAAATGGACCGTCACCTCTCTGGCCCCTTTTATTATTCTCTCCTTATAAATCATGGCATCTTTCTGTGGATGGAGTTGGAAGGGGTGGGGGGGAGGCGGGAGGGTGTGGAAGAGAAATCAAGTGAATTCTGGCAAATCACAATCGATAAAAGTTTCAGAGTCAGGAACGGTCCTCAGTGAAAATAAAAGATTTGTCACGACTCCCGGTAGCTTTGGGGAAACAGGGTAGGGGAGGGTGGGAGAGAGTTTTGGATCCTTTTTGATGGTGCTTATGGTCGGTCACCTCCCCACTCCCTCTCCCCCGGCTCAGCTTCAGACTCTGCCACTGTCGAGCTCTCCGGGACGCCGGCCGGGCTGAAGGGCACTGTATAAAAGCAAGTTGTTGTTGAGTTGTTTTCCCTTGAAGTTGGCACCGAGTCAAACAGCTTGTTCTGTCCAGTCACTGCTTAAAAGAAATCCATGTGGCTGACTCATCTTTCGGCGTCAAGAATAGGAATCTGCACGTACTAAAATGATGTAACCAGAAATGGACAGTTTATCGGGATTATTTTTATGTGCACAAAGGTATGTATAAAAAAAGAAGATTTCTCTTGGAAACAAAAAAAAAACACTTGATCTGAAATATTGGCTTTGTTGGCAAACGAGGTCTGGACAGTGAAAACTGATGTTTCAGTTAGTTTTTGTTTGTTTGTTTGTTTGTTTAAATGCCAACAACAACTACACACTTTGCCACCCACCCAGCCAGGATGTGAACTGAATCCAAATCGTCCAAGGCACAAACCAACTTATTTCCGTCTCCGCTTCGGGTTTCGCCTCGGGTGTGACTGAAGGCCTGAGAGCGACAGGAACAGGAGGCCGGGACACTGGGACTCATTTAATTTTAAAACAAAGCTTGACGCTGTAATGGGAAGACGGGAGTGTCAGAAGGGACGAGGTCAGGTGGAGCCAAGAGGATCTTCTTCATCCGAACAGATCTAGTGGCCTCGCCAAGTGCTCGCCACGCGTTCGACACCGTTAGACCTGGAACTCAAACATGCCTGTCTGTTTCTTGGCCAGTTTGGCCACCTCTTCCCGGATGGCCTTCACTAAGGCGGCCGTAGAGATGTTGCTGTAGGACATGTCTGAGGTCTCGTTCTCCGTCAGGCTCTGCTGCGAGGCTGCGGAGGAAGGAGTCTGAGCCCGGTCAATGGTCTGCAACGGGTTGTTGGAGGGTTGGGTCTGGCTGTACTGTCGAGGTGCTCGGGGCGGGGAGTCCTGGGGGTAGCGAGCGTGGGCAAAGGCCTCCACGTAACCTGGGAGAGTCACCTGAACGATATAAAGAGACGGTTATCTCACACTGGAGTTCCCGGGTCCCAATGGGGAGATGAAGAAAAAAAAAACAGTGGTTCGGGGGAGAAGGACGTATGTCAGTGTACGATGGTCTGGTGTGGCAAAGTCCTACATGGGAAACTCAGCCATTTACATCAATAGCGGCCCTGCTAATGTGACGGCTGGAACTCCCCCAATCAGTTCCACAATCTCACTCTCCTAAATACTGACGACTCCTAAATTCTCTTTCAGATCCCCGAGCCTATCTCATTCAGGGTGACCAAAAAGGCGTGATACCATTACAACGTCTAGTAAGTCTTAAGAAAATGATTTTGATTTTTCTTTAGATAATAGCAGCTGAAAAATAAGACTTTTTGGTCACCCTGTTCTTCTGTCTCCTGATGACAGACTCCCCAACCAGTGGAAACAACCGATCTACATTAACCTTATCGAACCCTTTTATAATTTTTAAAGCACCTCTTAGTTCCCCCCTTAAACATCTCTTCTGTAACGATAAAAAAGGCCTAACCTATCCAATCTAACCCTAACCTGCCAGCCTTGGTGTGGTCCTCTTAATCCTACGTTGTACTCTTTCCATCTGTGTTTTATCCTTATATCCTTATAATGTGGAGACCAGAGTTGATCTTGTTCGGAGCAGTGTATGGAGTAAAATACAGGCAATGGGTGGATGTGGATGAAATACATACGTTTTCAGCCCACTGGCCCTGCACATCGCCATCTCCCACATACTGAGTCCAGGCATGGCTCCTGTAGGGGGCAGGCGGTGTTGGGATGAAGTAGCTCGGGAACCCAGGTCTGTTAGCTGGTATAGCATAAACCGCTGGGCTACCTGCAAGAGTCGTGAGGGGCAGTGAGGCGAGGGCAGGGAAACACCCAAACATTTTAAATCCACCGCTCTTTACCCAAAACAAACAAACAGCGAGGTCAGACAGCACAATATTAGCATTGCCAATAATGTAAGGTTACGTTATATAAGAAAATAAGAATAAATTATCGGTTATTTGAAACCCGAGCTTTCAGCAACAACAACTTGCATTTATACAGCGCCCCTCACACAGGGTAGCATCCCAGAACGCTTGACAGTGGCAGAGCAGAGAGAGAGCGAGAGAGAGAGAGTCAAGCTCCCCACCTGAGTAATTTGTAACTGGCTGTTCCACAGGAGCTGCTGACACTGAGGTTCTGGAGACCGGCACAAATGTGGCTTCCTGCTGGGAAAGCTCGGGCCCCGGCCGGGCTCCTCCTCTCATGTTATTCCCATTCTCTGATGTCGAGCTGCGGCACAGAGGGAAAAAAAGTATAATTTGTACTTGTTAAGCGACACGGGAAGCCAGGGAGAAATGAGTTAATCCAGGACAGGCACCAGGAAATAATAATAATCCTTGCATTTGGTACAGCGCCATATCACGACTTTGAGACGTCTCAAAGTGCTTCGCAGGATACACTGTAAAGTGAATTGACTGTAGATTTTGTGGACGAAACGCGACAGCCAATTGCACACAGCAACGACCCCTCAAACAGTCGTGGTTTGAGCAACCAAATTATTATTTTTTTACAGGACTGGAATAGGTTAGCAGGAAAGGTGCCTGAGGCCAAAACACTGGGACACTTTTTGTTAGAAAAAACAGCCATTGAATTGGCCGATAAAACAAACGGATCAACAGACGTGAAAAAAAAACAGATGCTCTAATTATCCTTTTTCACCACCGCAATGCACTTTGACTTTCAGGGGATGAATTATCCACATCTTTTGCTGCCTCTCAGCCCCTAACCAGACATCTTTTATATAAGTTGTGTCCGCACTGCATGACAAATCAGGTTGGGCTAAGAGGGATTTATAGCTTCCAAAACTGGATCTTTTTAGCAAGCGATTCAAAGAGAAAGACATCACTACGGTCATGGCTACAGCTTTGAATTTAGGTCAGTGTTTGGCTGGTTTAAATGGTTTTTTTTATTGTGTATTATTTTATTAATACATTTATCCAGCATAACCCATTTAGCCACCAAGCTCATCCGGCACACGTCTCCGGGGGAGGCGATGGGGGGGGGGGGGGGCGGAAGGTGGGGGGTTGGGGTTTAAGCCAGGAGCCATTACAGAATCTGTATAAAGCACCTCACATTGCACTTCAACTCTCGCTGTCTATAACGGGAACTTTTATTTTGTTAACAGTTTGCAAAATTGAGTTGAATTTGATTCCTTCAGCCATGGCATTGGTTCAGCCAATCAAGTGCCAAGCCTCAAGCCTCCCGTTGGAGCTATTCATTTCCACGGTGAAAAGTAAATTGGGGGAAGTGACTGTTGACCAGGACACCAGGAGAAACTCCCTTCTCTTGTCGATTAGGGCCGTGGGATCTTTTGACGTCCACCTGAACAGGCAGACAGGACCTTGGTTACAACCCAAGGCCACGACTGTGGGTATAACAGGGTTCCTTCTCCTGTATCCCAATTCGCTCACAAACACACAGTCACTACCACCCTACAGCAAATCTTGTGAAGCATTTTCAGAAGCTCCCCCAACATGAAAGGCGCTGTACCAAACGCATGGAGTTGTATGATTAGTTTTGAGGACATAATCTCTTTGATTGCTACAGGAAGATAATTGCACATTAGGCAAGATTTTGTTCCAGTGTGTGTAAAGTAATCATTAAAGACTAAGCTAATGGGTATCTGAATTATGTGGCAATTAAACCTTTGATGCAAATTCTCTATGTGGGCACTAGTTTTACTGTCAGATTTTGCAATTGAAGTTATTTGCAATTCCCGGACAAAATGATCTTGCAAACTGCACGCACTCTAACAGTGATGGTTTAATGTGTGTGTGGGTGGGTGAGACGACTGCCTAGTGTTTGTCTTTAAGAGCTTTCAGTCATAAAGGTAAATTAACACAGGGTCCCAAAAGTCAATTCACTTTTTGTTCACATTTCTTTTTACTGGCTGAGATTGCAACCATGCTTCCAGCAGGGCAACATATTTATATGGCATTGTGCCCTCAAACTATTCTCTCCAACTGCAAAGGGCACACATCCCCACCAGACTGGCAAGATGTCAAGACGGGTGCTGCCTGCCAACTGGTACCAACTATCCGCCCAGAAACAAGACCGATTGCTGCTAATAAATCCAGATCACCCCACAGTCTTCAACAGAACAAAACATTGCCTTGGTTTATTCTGTTGTAAAGCAACAAATGTCAGTTGGCAGCACTCGTGCCTCTGAGTGCAAAAGGTTGTGAGTTTGATCCCCCACGTTGGGACTTTGAACGCATATAGTCGAGGGACGTTTCTGTGCTCCAATTCTCTGCCATGTTTGCCTACAAAATGCACAACCCCTAACACTGTAATATATCCTGTGAAGGCGCTTTAAAACTTCCTCCTGACATGAAAGGCACTACACTAAATGTAAGGATAATTATCATTATTATTAAGTTGTGCGGCCGCAATTTCTAGTTAAACTGTTTTCACGTGGACTTCAATAACCAACTGGGCTTGACTATGCTGCTAGGGTGGGCAGCAATTCACAAGGCAAGTGTCTATGCAAACGCTAAACAGTGACACCCAATGCATTACCGTCTGAGAGAGGCCACAGCCATTGGTCCAGTCCTCGGTGGGATGGGTGGAGGGGATCCCACAGCAATTTCCGGAAGCTGAGAATATCTGTACGCCTGCGAATCGTTCACGGTAAAAATAAATCACCAATTAGAGATTCCTACTGGAACTAAAGTTGCCATATTCCCTCCCCCAACACGATTCTGCTCATTGACCCGTCTAGCCCAAGGGGTGGCCAACCTTTAGGGTTAACCAACAAAATACATAAATTGAGAATATTCAATCCAGAAGTTAACTGAAATCACACGACCATTTGAACAGGGGTTTACCGAGACTCATGTGAATATTCATGGGGGGGGTGGTGGGGGGCACTTCCGGCTCGTGGGCCACAGATTGGCCACTGTTGCTCTCCTTTAGCCAAAAGAGTCGAGTGCGATTGTGAGGAAACCCATCTCTCCAGCACATCGATATGCTGTCCTGTGCTAATGGACCATACACTTCACACCCGATAAAGCCAATGACTAAGTTGTGTTCAGGATGAACAGAAACTGGGACAGCGACTGGCACATTGGAGCTGCTCCAGTTATGCTCTATTGTTGTCCGCACTAGATCCAAAATAGCCCAAGTGCTGTTGTCTGTCTGCTGTAGAGATGGCCCCTGGTTAATCACACGTCAATGGTTCAGCTAAATCCTACGTGTTAATTATTGGATAACACAGAGTGATAATGGCACAGAAACAGGTCATTCAGCCCCACTAGTCCACGTCAGCGTTTACACTCGAGTCTCCCACCCCTTCCTCATCCCCTCTCCTTTACCCCCTCTATCCCTTCTTCCCCCGCACACGGATCAAGTTTCTCCCTAAAAATGTTGATGCTGTCTGCTTCAGCTGCAGCATCAGGCAACCAGTTCCGCTTGCTCACCAGCCTCTGTGTAAAGAACCTCTGTCGATACAAGCAAAATTTCCACTGAAATAAAAAGCCAAAGGCGAGGAACATTTAACTCTTCAAATGCCGACAAAGGCACAGTGACTGCACTTCAGGGTAAATCCCGTGAAGCGCATCGTGGAGTTGTGGCAAGCCGATAAGGCAAGTATTATTATTATCATTAATATTATTATGAATCATTCTGTTGCGGATCCTGAGCCATGGATCTCCACAATACACGTAACAGAGGAAGGCATTGTACTTACAGGCCTGGGCAAACTGTACTGGTACATATCCTGTCCATAGGTGGGAACCCATTGGACTCCACCCCTTGATCTGGTCATGGTTCCAGGCGCGCTGGTCACCAGTTCGGTATAAGGCTGGCCGGCACTGTAGTGCATTTGGTGCCTGTTGTGTGCTCCGCGGCCAGCAGAGGCCAAGCTAAAGGCTTCCTCCAGGAGCTGGTGCATGTGCTGCCTGACTTCGTCAATGGAAGGCTGGGAGCTGAGGGTCGATGTCTCGGAGTGGCCTTTGGGTGGCCGGGAGCGGGCAGAAGTCCGAGCCTCCACAATTCTGTCGATGTTGGTTTCTTCTATCAGTTCTGGCTCCGTCTTTAAAGCCACAAGAAAAAGGAGGAGCAAAGACAAGGTCAATATTTTTACCTTCTGATTGATTTAAACACATTTTCCCTTTTATGAAACTAGAAAAAACAACAGTAATAATGTGTCCCTTACTGTAGGGAACGATGACTGAGCGAGTGGGACTGCAGGCAAAATTTATTGTCTGAATTGGTAATATGTTTCCTATTATTTAATTTAAAAGGTAGCTCTTTATTGACTAGGTTTCTTAACTTTGTCATCAAGATAAAATAGGTCAATCGCTTCACGGCTTGTTTGCTGCGCGCAAATCGGCTGCCATGTTTGCCTATCATGGCGTTATTATACGATTCTGACGAAGGGTCGTGGACCCGAAACGTTGACTCACTTTCCTTTCTCCACAGAAGCTGCCTGATCTGCTGAGTGTTCCCAGCCACTTCTGTTTTTGTTTCAGATTTCCAGCATCCGTCAGTATTTTGGTTTTATGGCATTATTATCATCATCCTTAACTGTGAGAACCTGGAATGATGGGTTCTCACGATAGGCCAATGAAATAATAACAATAATTAATAACAATAATCCTTTTATTTGCCTTTCATGGCATGGGATAACTCAAAACTCTTCACAGGTTACATTGTAAAGTGTGTGTGACTGTAAGAGTGATTTATTTTTTATCTATTTATCTATTTATCACTATTTGTTAAGTTGCCAAGTGCATTCTGCCACAGAGAAAACAGGCAACTCCTCAAAGCAAGCACCCAGCACAAGACAAGGGCTGGCATTGATTTTTATACGACGTGTTTGGACTTGCATGTTAATAAATCGTTGAAGAAACAGTTCAACACTGTGACAAGTAGAGGGCAGAGAGAGAGATCTTCCTACAGGGATGAGATCAAATGGGGTCAAAGGAACCCTTTTCATCTCGAACCCCTCTCCCCCCAACCCCCCTCTCTCTTTCTCTCTCTCACGATCTTGCGAAATCAAGATTTTGTGCATTTCATGGCATTATGTTTGGCTGCAGATTACGAGGCAGATGAGTTCCTGTCTCCGAGGTGTGGAATTTCATGAACACCGTCCTGGGGTTTCAAAGCAGCGCTGACTTCATGCTGTTTGCCGTTGCTGCCTCACTTCATTAACTGGGATTGGTGCAGTGCTCGTGCACTGTGACTGCAAAGCAGTGCTGGAGAGTGTGAGTGACACACAAACAAAGCTGGGTCTCGCTGACTCTCTGAGCAAACCAAAACGGGTTTTCAAGGCTTTGAGCGGCAGATTGCTGGAGGTATCTTCCTTTACTTAACGATCGTAAAAAAGCAACATTTAGTCGCAGATCCAACACGAAAGAAAAACAAGTGGATTGACATGATGTGAACCGAAGCATCCAAACTTCCGAGGTAACAGGGATCTGATTTCACACAGTGCAGCCCCATAAAAAGCGACACTCTCAACACCGGCTCACAAGGGTTGTGGGTTCCAGCCCACACACACCTGACGCACTTTCAACAAGGTCGCTACGTCAAAGGCACAGATGAATATACTGCATGATTGATATCCTTTCCATTAACTGGTCGAAAAAAACCTCCTTAATCTAACCAGGGTTGATTAAGGATTACTTCATAAACCTCAATTTTGATACGAGCTGACCCACTTTCCTCATCTCACAAGGGGCACAATCGCATCTCATTCCTAAACATAGCTCGCAGTTTCTGTAAGATGTTTGGCAGGTCAGGTTCCGTTTAGACAACTTCAGTCCATCAGTAACTACCCGGAGTTGGGTGTATGAGCTCTCCAGGAAGGACAGTGCCCTAACCTCCAAGGGTGACTCTCTGGCCCAGTCTTTTACAGGATTGTCAGGAATTGACCAAGAAAGGCTAGGACAATAGCTCCACCACCTGAGGACTGGGAATAAAAATAGTTACTATTGGGGGAAAACATTTTTCCATTTTTTTTAAGAAAGAACCAGATTCTGGAATAAGACTGAGTTAAAGGATTTTCTATTATTCAGTGTAATCTTAAATTTTAAGGCAGAATAAGCAACGAGGGGGTGGAGTGAGGGTCAAGGCTTTAACCATCCTTCAGCTATTCAATCGAAAGTAGTGATGTTTAAGCCAATCTTTGCCACGAGGCTCTGCCACACGACACTTTACACAACAAATCTGCCAACGTGGATGAACCTCATCAAACAGCACTGAAGCCTAAAATGCCATGTTCAGAAGAGGACCTACAAAAAGATATGGAATGACATGCTGACACCGGCCACTGCTCCAGCCATAGACAGACCTAATAGCTCTTCAGACATGGAGGGTGAACATGGAAAAGCTCCGACTATAAACTGAGACAAAGAGCGAACGTTGTCAGTCATTAACACTTACATCATATCCACTATTACGAATGCCACGACGTGATCTTTCCCTCGTGACCAGAAGGTCCATCTCTGTTCCTCCCGGGCTCGGGCTGTTTAAAGACTGTCTGCTTCTGTACACATGGTTCCTCGGGTGGGTTTGTCTGGATGTGTTTGGAAGAAAGGAGAGAAAAGGACAGGAGAGGAGAGGACAGGAGAGGGGAGGAAAATAAACACACGCGCGCAACAATTTGAATTAGGAATAGTTTGGGAAGAATTTCCCGTTCTTTTTGAAGGTAATGAAAATCGTGTTGTGTCTAATGGCATGTCTTTGCACTCGTCATACTCATCATGCAGGAACATTGAGTAAACTTGGTACCAGGTATAACAACTGAAACGTTTTGTTGCAATGTATGGCATTGGGGTCTAAATTACATGGACATAGGTCACTCAACACTGAATCCAGTATGTACCAGATAGGGCAGCGTTTCAGTAATGAATGAAATTCCAGATCTGCTAGGTATATGACTCCGTTAGCTACTCTTGGACTTTAGACCCAAAAATTGGGAGGTTCATCCCAAGCCTCTATAATGCTACACTTTTGAATAGTTAGCGATAAGTTAGTTTGGGTCACAACATTTAGAAGGTCCACTTTAAATGCCTAAGATCCCAGTAAGTACTCAAGTTTAGAATAGACGGTATCTCCTCCCTATGAGATGGTGGACAGCAAGACATGCTAAAGCACCTGTAGCAGGAATTACACCTTAGGTGATGAATAAAGGACGAGGAGGGTGAGGGCACAATGAAAACACTGAGAAAATCCTAAGTGATGAACTCAAGGTCTTCACACTCAGTCAGTTACCCAATTCATTTTAAAGTCTATTCTGATTGACATCAACTGGGGACCAACTGCAGAACATGCAAACTATTCCTCAGAACATCACACACACTGCCTTCAACCTCCAGCGTGTAAATTATTCAGCTTCTGTTTTTATAAGAAAGATTCTTTTTTAGTACCATTTGGGATTTGTACGACCAACATTAAAACATTCAATCCACACAGCCACATCTCACAAAAACAAACCAGATCCCCACCTCCCTCTGTCTTATTCTCAGTGAAAATAGTTAAGAGTTTTTCAGAATAAAATAAGTATTTAGTAATTCAACATCTCAATGTTCCCACTACATCCAGCCTTATGGAGCACAATACAAGCACAATACAACTTTACGTTTCTTCTTACCTGTTTCTAGGCTCCGTGTATGTGAAGGGTATACGAGAATCATCTTCCAAAACCCGGTTAATTTCCATCTGACCTCTTTCGTACATTTTTCGTTGTGTGTCTGTCAATGGCTGATTCCCTTCCATGTCAGGGAAATCATAGTAACCTTTCCTCTTTGCTTTCAGCCGGAGTTTATTGCGATAATGCTCGATATCGGATTTCTGCTTTAGAGCCTTGTTTACCTGTTCAAAAACAGACACACCCACTCGCTGATTTTCAGGGTTCAAAAGCACAAGGTGGATTTTGTGTTCTGCAATCAGATTTGTTGTGTTCCTGTGGCTGTTCTGCACAGTGAGAGATATAATAGAAATTTCAGCCTCGGCATCCCATGGCTGTTTGTTGGGGTCATTGCTGTGCGCAAATTGGCTTCTGTGACCGGCTACAAAAATACCCACTTAACAGTAAATCCTTTGTAGCGCTAAGAGATGTCCTCGGGATGTGAAAGGCTCTTTATTAAAATGTTAGGATTATTGATTATTATATAATAATAATCCTTGCATTTGATATAGCGCTTTTCACGTCTTCTCGACGTCCCAAAGCGCTTCACAGAATATACTGTAAAGTGAATTGACTGTATATTTGTGGGCGAGCGCGGCAGCCAATTGCGCACAGCAGCGTCCTACAAACAGTCATAGATTGAAAATGACCAATTTTTTTTATTATTGTTTTGTTTTTTTGGAGGGATTATTATTAGGCGGAGTAAGGAAACTTGCCCAAGGTTTCGCCCTGCCTGGAATTGAACTCAGGTCTCTCGCACAGAATTCTCTACCTCTTGGCTGAGGGAAATGACGAGCCCTATAGTACGTGATCTTGGGCTTTCTCCATCTATCCCATTGGGAGCTTGTGAATGGGCCAGACTGGATGGAAAGCATTATTAAAATGACAAATAATACCCGAAGCGGCTGGGAACGCTCAGCAGGTCAGGCAGCATCTATGGAGAGAGGAAAGTGAGTTAACGTTTCAGGTTGATGACCTTTAGGAGTCCTGTAGCTCAGTGGTTAGAGCACTCGCCTTGCAAGCGAGAGACCTGAGTTCAATTCCAGGCAGGTCAGGGCGAAACCTTGGGCAAGTTTCCTTACTCCACACAGAGCCTAATAAGAATCCCTCCAAAACCAAAAACAATAATAAATTGGTCATTTTCAATCTACGACTGTTTGTGGGACATTGCTGTGCGCAATTGGCTGCCGCGTTCGCCCACAAATATACAGTCAATTCACTTTACAGTGTGTTCTGTGTTCTGTGAAGCGCTTTGGGACGTCCTCCCGACGTGAAAAGAGCTATATCAAATGCAAGGATTATTTCGTCAGAACTCATTATTAGAATGACAACATGAAGACTGTTATAATGGATTTATAAATAGAATCGGCAGGCAGTTAACTTCACCAGGTTTGATTAACTTAAGAGTTAGCGACACATTCTCGTTATAAATTCTGCACTTGGGTAATGGATTGATACTAACTGTTCTGAAATGGCTTTGTTCACTCGCCCATTTGAAGACAAATTCTCTATCACCCATCAATTACATCATTAAAAACAGTAAAGAGTGGCTAATATCCATAAACAATGGAGAGACATTCCAAAGGATAGTTGCCTTCCACCACTGCCAATAAAGATTGAAATGAAGGCAATTGTCATACTAAAGCTACTTTATAGTCAAAAGAAATAAACATGATGAATCAGTTTAAACCCACATCGTTTTGAGCTGATTAGGTGAAAATTGATCCATTAATTCCTCCAAGACGATATATACATACAACGAGATCGGCAGTGATTTAAAAAAAAGGCCCGTGGAAATTTATACCAAAAAGATTGTGGGAGGAATTGAAAATATTCAAACGACAATGGGTTCTGAAGTCAAGGAGGCTGTAATACATCAAGCCAGCAGCGACGTGTAGAACTGTCTATCTTTGGAGGTGGTGGATGGAAATTGTGTCAGCAATCTCAAGAGGGAATTGGGTAATGATTTAACAAAGAACTCAATCAAATGGGCATGAGAGATTACAATGAGGGACTCTGTATTCATTTAAATTTGTGTGTTAGACGTTGGGCTGGTCACATGAATCATGAATGTCTTTCCTTTTCCTGTCTGTTGCTATGCCCCAATTCTCTATAAAGTGATTACCATTTTGATCAGCAGAATTGTACCGAATTGTACGGCATTTTTCACAGGTTCTTTTCCGATTAATTTTGCTTTCGAGTAGTGATTCTGTGGGTTTATAGCCACAGTCTCTCGTTCCATATCTGGTTTTTTTTATTGTGTGTGGGGTGTGAGGTGGGGGAAGAGGGCGAGAGGGGGAAAGAGAAACCAATACTCAGAGATTACCAAGTAATCAGAGGTTTAGATTTAAACACACAGTCCAGAATTGACTGGATTGGTCCCGTACCACCAGGGCAGAGGACAAAAGGCAACAACAACAACTTGTATTTATACTTCGTCCTTCACGTGGCATTGCAGCTCAGAACGCTGAGCACTGACAAGGTTTTATCCAAGCTGGGGAGAATGAGAGGTGACCTTAGGCACAGTCAAAGGGCAAAGGGTAAAGAGAGAGAAAAACAAAGGGATTGAGGGAGGGAACTCCAGAGGTTTAAGAGAAACACAAACTGCATATACTCTATATATTACTCTACAATAATAGAAATGAACCTCTCATCCGTCCAACTCTCAGCATAAGAGGGAGGCAAATAACTAGTACATTGTGCATCGTTAGTATTTTTCTTAGACAAAGCTGTAAATGTTGAGAGAAATTAAGATTTTTTCCAAATAATCCTGAGTTGCACCTCTTATCGAGTATCAGATGCTCACCGCCTCCATCCAGCTCCCAGGACAAAGATGATGACACAGAGAAAGAACAACGTGCTCCGTGCCCAACAGCAAAAAGACCCGGTTACCTCAATCTAGATCCATCTCCTTTCAATAGGTGACAAATTCCGCAAGGTTAATGCCGGGATGTAAGAAGGACCACAGCGCTGGAATAGCAACAGTGATGGTGCTCCATTGACATCCTGTCGAACATCACAATGCTGAACATCGATGCCAACCCCATTAGAGTGACTGCTCTGTTGCAGCAGTCAGATCAGATGCGCATTGCCGACTGGGTCACAGCATCAAAAATCCAACACGAAGGCAAACTTTGCATTAGCTAACGTTCCCCCAACGTCTAATCTCACAGGCACGAGCAACGTGATGAAAATACAAGCTATTTATCCACCGCATTAATTGACATCAACTCCCACTGGAAGCAATGGGGAAGTCAGCTCTGACCAACAGGTCTGTCTGCAAGGCATAGCACACGTGGGCTGATTGACTTGCATTCATTTGCTTGCTGCAATAGGATTCAGAATTATTTACCAGTTTTCCACAGAGAGTCCGAAGCTCACCGAACAATCAGTTTTGCTTGGCTGGGCTGGGTTCTGAAGACATCTGCTATCACAATGGTGCAGAGGCTGCGTACAAGGCTCAGCTCAGAGTAGTGTCACTTTGGGCAACTTTACAGGACTCCCCTCCAACATCCCAACTGTACGTATTTTTTTTCCCTCACTCCTCCCAACCCCCCCTCCTCCCCAATACAGGGTGACCAGCTATGGCCTTCTACAAAGGCAAAAGAAGGAATTGCTCGACAAAGTCATACAAGGAGGGAGGGAAGGAGGGAGGGAGGGAGGGAGGGAGGGGTGAGCCAAGTGCAGCAGTGTCAGTAACACAACAACAAGATTCCATTTATAGAGCGCCTTTCACGTCGTGAGGACGTCCCAAGGCGCTGGACAGTTGGGTCAGTAATTGTGCGGTGTGTGTACAGAATGCATTACTGGGCAACAGGCACTGAGATGATTTATGTTTGACGGAGCAGGCGAGCAGCAGCCCGCAGTGGAGTGTGTGTGACGTGACCGAGTTGCTATGGGGAGGATGCCACACTGAGCAACGCTGATAAATAAATTCCAGGATGATTGTTCGCAAATGATTTATTAAACTGCTTATTAAGTCATTTAATTTAGTATTAAAGGGTGTTAGTCATTATGTGCTTTTCCGCCTCCCCTCAACCAACCAAACATTTTAACCATTGATTAGATCGGAACGATGTGAACATTGAAATAAGATGCAAACATTAATGCTTCACTTTGATGCTGGGATAAGAAGTCAGCAGGCTTGGAAAGATTGTGTTGAACAACAGGAAATATGTTTGATTTACAAAGGAGAACTGTAGTGATAGATAATGGAACATTTCAAGAGCAGATGGATAGCACAATAGTCCAGAATATTTGACTGACTGTATCACACAAATTCAATGGTAGAGGGAAGGTGCTCCTCACCTTTTCCTTTGGTAAAGGATCAAAACATTGGCAAATAGAGGGAGTCATTTCCTTACCTCTCCATTTACCACTGTCTGGTCTGGGCTCCTCTCCGAGGCTGGCTGGGAATAAACTGGAGGTGCTGCCAGGGGTTTCACAGAGAGCAAGTGAACTGAGCCAGAAGATGTATCAAACAGATCGTCAGATGTCTTTGAGACGTGCTCAAACAGGGTGGCACCTTCCTCATCGTCGCTGTTTGGCACTGAAGGACATGACAGAACAGTCCACTCAGATCATTGTTAAATGAGGAGTAACAGCACCGTGTCGGCAAAGAGAGACAAGACAACGGTTGGAGCTTTTCCTGGGAAAACTGGGAAAATTACCTCCTTATTCATTTTTTTTTAAAAAAAAGGGATTACCCGCGGGAAATGCAAACACAAAAGCTCATCTCACCATTTCTCCTCTTCGTCTCTTCCTTTCCAATTTTCTGCTGAGCCATTGGCTTCTGGGGGCTGCTCCTTCCAGAATCCCCTTTGCCCGATTGTTCACTGATGACAGAATCTTGCTCGCTGGGTAACCTGCTGGAAATGACCAGAGCAATAAAAAAAAGTAAGGGATTTTTTATGCGTATATATATATATATATATAAAAATATCTTCACTGTTCGACTTTATTATTAACAGCCCTTTCCTTTCCAACCTGGTTCAATTCATCTGGGTTACATTTGAGACTCATCAGCAGGTTTCTCAAAGGTCTTAAAAACCCAACCCCCAAAAGAAATCAGCCATCGTGTATGTATGTGGTGTAAAAGGAATCCAGAAAATGTTAAATTATGCACCTCGATTTATTATTAATGTGCTTTCACTTTGTGGGCTTCAAAGTATAAATCTTTCCCCCCGCCACAAAACACCATCGCTGTGTCACGGCATTCTCCTTATGCTGAGTAGAAATAAATCACATCAACCAGCAGTGGGATCCCTGCTCTACGAGATTGGGTTCATACCAGCAAGATAACACCAGTGCATTATTAAAAGGCCAACAACTACATCTAGCAACGATCTGGTCAATTCATCTTTCTCCTAACACACTCTAATGTCCAACCACGATGGAGGCAGTGACCGAAGAACAACAACAAATTTCATTTGTATAACGCCTTTCACGTCGGGAGGACGTCCCAAGGTGCTGGACAGTCAGGGATTTGGACCCGGGCTGGGATCAGGGGGGGTGGAGGACAGGAAGGTAGGGGTGACCAAAGGCAAAGAGGAGAGTCTTGAGAAGTGCCTTGAAGGAGGCAAAGGATGGAGCAAGGCGAATGGACTGTGGGATGGAGTTCCTAAGGGTGGGCACAGTCCTAACTCTGAAGTCAACAGAGTCCAAATCAGCAACCGAGCCAGCCAAGCTCTCCAGAACACTGATGCTACAGCTTACTTAACTGCGATGCAGTGAAGAGCTTGCATGTGATAAAACAACACTTTTTATGCATTGATCCACTCGGCACAGGAAGATTGCCATTGGATGAAAGTGTTTAATAGAACTGTCTTTGGACAGAGGTGTGCTGATGTGGGAAATGGATGAGCCCGTGTGTATAAAGGTGCTGAAATGGCAGTTCGGTGGAAGTCTTGGCTTTGATCTCCTGTGAGTTTCATTGAGTGTTTCACAGCCCAGGTCCTTTTGATTAGCATGTTATTTGGAAGCTCACTCTGATGGTTTCTATTCTATTCTCTCTTCCAACCCAGCCTTCAGCCCACTTCCCATCCCAAACATTCTGGCTCTTCCAATGGAAAAAGTGTCTGCGGACAAAGAGTACAAACTAGCATCACAAATACCTAATACACAACTAACAGAAAATCTTTTACAAACCCAAAACACTATGAACCCTGTTCCTGGGGACCAATGGGTGATGTTCTTTGAGGAGGTATTTTTTGTTAGTTTTAAGGAAAGAAATGGTGGGGCAGGGAAGCAAAGGCTAACACAGTTTTAAGCAGCCACCAAGTCACGGTAAAGGAAAAGAAGATTTTGTTCAGCTCAGCGGATTTGGAATGACTATTGACCCTTGCTAAAACAAAAGCCAACCATGAGCTACGCTGTGCAAACCATCATCTTGGCTCAGCCAGGCTGAGTCAGTGTAATTAGTGACTGGCTAATTGAACCTCAATGGTCTTCTCTTGTCTGAAACATCTCTACGTTCTGATTACACCCAAATTCCTGCTAATCCCTAGTTAGTACCATTATCTTTGACCATCATCCTGACTGTCAAGTCAAGATGCATCCGACAGGGATTGCAGGAAACACACAGGATTGTGACAGCTTTCGTTTCCTCTCCGACAAAGCAATGTTCAAAGGCACTAATCCATGACAATCAACACATGAACTGGGCCAGTGAACTGTGCCTGAAAGATGAACTGGTGCATAAGTGAGATCAAAACACTGTGAAGCTGATCAATATGACAAGTGGCAAGTGTAAAGCGCCCTGGCTTCTTCTGCTGCTCAAAGTCAACCAGAAAACAGTGAAAATGTTCAAAGTGAACGGTGAACAGATGTTCTAATCACATACAGGCTGACCTCGCTACACAATAACTTGGGTTGCTTAAGAGAGTAACATACAAACCTACCTACATACATACATACATAGCAAGCGAGAGTATTAAAGAACATGGATAAAAGGCACCGAAATGGGGTTAAAAAAATCTGCCACAATTTGGTGGAACAGACACATTGGGCTGAATGACCTCCCGCTGGCCTTCTGTTTCCAATCACAGAACTGCACCCTCGCACCTCAAACATAAGCATCATTGTTGTTCAAGACGTCTTTGCCATCACCAGTGAAAGCAGTCAATTCACATCATCCACAAAGATCCAGGTGAATAATGGTTTTAAAAATGTGATTGAGTGTTAAGAAGGAGAATTACAGGTGACAAAATGCTGAGTGGAACCACGGCTGGTCGCTGAGCTGCAGCGGAAATAGATACATCACGCCAACACAAAGAGCTGGCACAGGCATGATTGGCCGAATGGCCTCCTTCTGTGCTGTAATATCGTATGATTGTATAACACAAGACAACCCGTCCAGGATGTGTGATGTACGATGCAACAATAGGTAAGCATTGTGGACTTTCCTGCGTTTACCTTTGTGGGGGGCAAGGAGTAACCGAGTAGAATCTTTCCTCAGGAGATGAAATGGCTTGGGTAGAGTCCATGATAGAGCAGATTGCACATGGTCTGTGGAAGGAACAGGCTTGGTGAGCCAAACGGCTATTTACTCATTCTGTGCCTTGTTCACCTGATGCAGGTACAGGCAGGTTACAGTATTTAACTCGCTAACCAGCACTGTGAGCATAGAACGAGAGGACACACATACAAGATCAACAAGCCTGAAGTGAAACCAGAAAATTGAAAGGTTTTTTTCTTCCCTCACACCCTCACACCCCTTTACCAACGGAGAAGCAGATTTATGAAACAGCAACCTAGCAGCAGCTACTTAATCAATCGCTTGAAATGGGCTGGACAGAGATCTGGTTGAGAATGAGATTGAATATTGTAAGGACAAATGGAGAGAGAAAGAAAGAGAGAGAGAGAGAGAGGAGATGACTGAATGCAGCATGCAATGTAATGATTGTTTTGCTTTGCCAACCAGAAGTAATCATGGAATTAGATAGATGGATAATATTCTAAGGTTCTGAGTTCAGTTTATAGCCTAGTGACAGAGAGAAGATACGCAGAACTTTGCCTAACATGGAACGGCCCTGAAATGTTCTAAAACTAACGACAAGATTATAACACCTTGGCTTGCTTCACAAGCAGATTTTTTGCACACGATTCCTTCGAACGTTACCTCCTTCGAACATCAACTGTTTTGGGTGGTTTGGCATTACTCCCGTCCTGCGAGATTTCACTTTCTTGGGTTACAGTTCCATCTTGTCCAGAAAGTGGCAACACTACGGTTTCTTGAGTGACGGTCACTTCATCCTCTCCGCCCTGTTGACCAATGTGCTGTTTGGCGTAGTCAAACCCTTGTACTGGCTATTGCCATAAAAATGGAAGAAGGAAAATCCATTAGTCACTGGTTCGTTGAATATTAACCCGGTATCAGCCTTTTTTGACACCCAGTCAACTGAGGGTTTCATTCTCTCCCTCTCTGTTCCCTTTCCACATAATTGAACTCCGCAGTTGCTGTCTCCTGAATTCGGTAATTTACTACAGATTGCACAGACTGAGGACACGTGACATTGAATCTTCCTATTTTTCACCGCTACCAGTTAACCTTAATCCCCTAGCCGGCCCCTGGTAAAAACATATTGATCACATAGTCAAATGCAAGTTTAGAATCTGGAAACGTACAAACAAAAAAACACACGTTTAGAATCGCGATCCCATTTAAAAAAAAAACAAATGATTTTTTTTAACAACCCTATATTTATGGCAAAGTTCATTAATAGCAGATAGTGAATTTTCTATGAAAATCGTTTTCCCCTTCATCACAGCTGCTGGATAGCTGAACAGCCAGAGGAATGGATTACTAAGCACAAGGTTACAGCTTGAAATCTTTTGACATGACTGATTTTGTCAATAATTGATTTTTTCTCTCTTGCTCTCCATCTCTCTCTCTCTCTCTCTCGCCTCCTCCGAGCTCCTCTCACACGAGGATTCTTTCAATTCAAGCATGAATTAAAAGTGACGCCACTCAATCATTCTGCTCTCTACTTATGTTCGATTCCCCCGGGCAGGGCGAAACGTTGGGCAAGTTTCCTTACTCCACACGCCTCTATTTACCAAGCAGTAAGTAGGAACCCAGTTATTAGTCAATTGTCGGATCACTTTTCTGGGAGATAAAATATGTGGTCACTCAATCCACGGCTGTTTGTGGGACGCTGCTGTGTGCAATTGCCCACAAAACATACAGTCAATTTACATTACAGTATATTCCATGAGCTCTTTGAGCCATCTCGAAGATATGATAAGGCGCTACATCAAATGCAAGGGTTATTATTCTTGATACTCTTCGATAAGAGAAGGGCGTCAAACCAACACATAACAGTGGCTCTAGTACCTGTTGTCTGGCTGAGGGCTGCTCACTGCTTACCTTTGCTCTCTGGTGCAGGTTGGACATCGTCTCGGATTTAAATTCACTCTTGTTTTTCCTGCACAGCACTGCGGAAATAATGATGATTATAACGGTCACCACCCCGACTGGAGCCAGCACCGCAGCGATGATCCACAGGTTATTGGGTGGGTTTTTGACCACAGCTGTGAGGGAAACAAGTGGATTAAAGTGATCCTTGTTGGTCGAAAGGCATGGCCTTACTGTGTGATTAGCTTTACATCCAGCTTTTGAGTTTACAACTCAGGACAACTTCACCACCCTAGCCTGCTTATGTCTTCAAAACTCTCTTATAACCCCCATCTTTTGACCGCAACCCCTGATCAACACCCTTCAATTCACCTTGCTTCGAGACATTGTGTGTTTCGAGGAGGAAGCCAAGAGAGGGATATGAAAGGGGGTGGGGACACAGTGGGGCAGTGGGATTGAACGAACACCTTTTTCTGGGAGCCAGTGCACCCGGGCCCCAAAGTAGGGCTCGACTTTATGACTTTTTTCCTCTCTCCAAGATTCTGCACCCGCCCCCCCACTTAAATCTTAATGACAATGTTCTGAAGGATAAGAGCTAAGAGGGCATCAAATTTCAGGCCTGGACACAACGCACAGAAAAAGAGTCTCGCAGCGACTCCGATTGACTCGTCACGGAAACCAATGAAGCAGCAATTTCACGTACGTTCTGCCTGGAGTTGAACGCGATAGCCTAGCTCCAGAGCCATCGTCTGTGGGTCCACCGTGCTCAGTACCTTTGCTGCTATTGTGCCAGGCAACGGCACTCCATTCTCCAGGGCATAATACGTTAATTCAGTAGGGTTTTTAGGAGCAGAAAGTCGTTTGATGGTTACCATCTAGAGAAGGATTAAAAAGTAAGACAAGGAGTTTAGTGGTGAAATGTTTTGATGATGTGATAAGGCCCTGTACCGAATGCAAAGACTATCACGATTTGGAATGGCACCTTTCACGTTAGGATGATGTCTGTAAACCCCTTTGCCTCTGAAGTGCAGTGACTGTGGGTTTCGTGAGTGAGCCATTTTAGCAATACAGGAAGCAGCCTTGACTGACTGAAATGGTCTCCTTCCGTGCAGAAAATACCTAGGTTTTCAATCAACTAACAACAACAGTGCCTCTCAGCAACAACAAACCTAGAGTTTTGACAACAGCAGTGACTCTGACAAGCACAAACCTTTCATTTGGGGATGAGTGAGTAACTTGCAGGGATATTTTGCATGCTAACTTGTCAGCATGCAGTGCAATGTGAGCCAGACACTGAGACAGAAAGAGTGGCTCTCAGTCTCAAGGATGAAGAGGTTCACGTAGATCGCAGGCAGTTTAAATATCTGATGTCTGGGATGAGCACTCCACATTGGAAGAGATGTCAGAAAGCTTTGTGCTGGTAATCTACTCTCAGTACAAGTAGAACTAAAATCCATTTACAATCCTAACAACACGCATAAAGTCGATAGAGCCTTTCACGAGAATACAAGAGGCAGAAACCAATGTAGTTCCACTCCCAACAACAACAAGAGCACTTCGGCCTTCATTGACTGTCAATTCAGATATCAACCGCTACAGAGACCGACCTGCAGAGTGTAGCTGCCGATGGTGGAGGCACGTTTGAACCTGCGCCCCTGCTGCTGGGCGATGGTGAAGAGATTCGCCAGGCGCCGCTCCATCAGGCTGGCAAAGCTTTGGTACTTCTCGTTCAGTGAGCCATTGTCAACGCCCAGGATGACTGAAAGAGAAGGGACAGCAGGTGGAAAGCTAGTCTCAGCAATAACGGGTCCTTACTGCTTTGCTCCTTATCGCCTCACTCCCTCATTTACCTCCTTCAACGCGCAAGTCAAAACCCTCCTCTTCAACTGCGCCTTCGGTCACCCTCCTACCCCTACACCGCCTGTCCTCCAGATCCTCTGATCCCAACCCCAACCCCCCACACCCCCAGCTTGGGTCCAAATCTGGCCAGTGCCTAGGAATGTCATTTCGATGTGAAAGGCACTGTGTAAATGTGATTTGTTGTTGTTATTCCAATAGCACTATGTGGCAATTTACCACTAGGCTCTCCTCCTCCACCCCCCCCCCCCCCCCCCACCGCTCCTACTGATACCTACTACACACGGAGAGGAAAAGATCACGTGGGCACAGATTGCTGACCCGACATGTGGACAGAATTCTTCGAGCAATTCAGAACTCCGCCGGTCAAATTCTCTGGCAAAACGCCTATTGACTTTATGGGAAGAGCATAATTTAATCCAAAAGATAATCCCAATACATTGCTTTACTTTTTTTTAAAAAAGTGCCTCTGTGTGACGCTATTAACAAACCTGTAATCACCCAGTATTTTTCAGTTGCCACTGAAGTATCAAGATTTTCATATTCCAAAGCTAAAGGAGAGAATAAATTCCAAAATTAATCCCCTGAAAACATGGGCATTATTAATAATAATAATCCTTTCATTTGATACAGCGCCTTATCACGTCTTCGAGACGTCTAAAACGCTTCACAGAATATACTGTAAAGTGATCTGACTGTATAATTTGTGGGTGAAACGCAGCAGGCAATTGCGCACAGCAGCGTCCCACAAACAGTCGTGGATTGAGTGACCAAAATTATTATTATTATTTTTATTCACAGATTACATTAAACGTAGAAGTTATGAATTTTCGCAGATTCACTTTAAATGTGTTAAGAAAAGAAACACACTAAATTGCGGTGAATACAAAGCAGTAAAATGAATGAAAAAGAAGGATATCTGATAAAATAGCAACACTCTACTCTCAATCACTTTTTATGACCTTCACGCTTACACCTACTGATGGTGAGGTAAGGATATTTTGCTCTGCTGTCTGGTAGACTTACAGTGTATCCTGTGAAGCGCTTTGAGACATCTCGAAGATGTGATAAGGCACTATATCAAACACAAGGATTATTATTATTATTAGTCATCAATATGGGGGCACTGCAAATTTGAATCGAACTGAAATTTCCGTTAGACTGAGGCCATGAAATTTAACACACTTGGGTTGGTCTTTTTCCAATCAGCTTTAGCAGCAAATATCTTACCTGGTTTTGAAGGGTACGTGATTCCACACCCTATTTTTGCAACCTATTAAAATGGGCATTTTTTTTTAAAATAGAATTTTAAATTTTATGTGCTGACATAATTAAAACTCTTTTTACTTCATTGCAAAAACTCTATGGAACTTGGAGGCACTGAAATAGCTATCGAAATAAAATCACATCATGTGACATGGTTCATTTAGCAATATTTTCGCCCGGACCCTATTCAGCTCCTTGAATCACAGATCAGAGTTTCACATTTCACGGCATGCTAATTTGATGATAAATAATATTAATCCTTGTGTTTGATACAGCGCCTTATCGTGTCGTCGCGACGTCTCAAAGCACTTCACAGAATATCAGTGACTGCACTTCACAGAAGTGCAGTGACTGTATTTTGTGGAAGCCAATTGCGCACAGCAGCATCCCAGCGTCTCAGTTGTCTGTTCCCTTCCACAAAGCTCTAACAGCTCCCCCCCTACCACACCCGCCCTCGACTAAGCTAAGCTAAATATGGCACCCCTGGATTTCTGCGGAAGACACAATTGTGTTTATCGGGATCAAGGGAGTAATATCAATCAGTGGGATTGACCACTGAAATAAATTACAGTTAGCACGGTTCGCCTCCTTAAATGGTAACCGGCAAGATTCTTTTGAAAACCAGTTGCGTATTACAAATTCGTAGGCGTCAGACTAAAATGCCTATGCATATTTTAAGCAATGGTTTAACACACGTGATCCTCTGTGCACCCAGGTCAATTTCAGACACAAGTGAGAAATCATTCAATGAGAGATGTCTCTCTCTCTCTCTCTCTCTCTCTCTCTCACTCTGTCTGAAACCTCAAAAACACAACCCTCCATAAATAATTGAGCAGCTGGCTGCGAAACACTGAGAGCTTTAATGGAATGAAGGTTAGGAACTTGCTGTGACCCCTTCCTGCGCTGTGAAATACTGCTAATGAACCCCAGTGGTCCTGCATTCAATTAAAATGGGATCTTCCTTGGTTGCCCAAGCACGTACCTTTTTTTAATGTGCCTTCCCACCATGTACGGAAATCACTGGGGAGACTATTTAATCCCCCGCCCTCCACACCCCCCACCAAGAGCTCCTGAGGTCACGTACTATCTCATGTCAGCAATGTAGACCTTCATTATATTGTCCGCACTGCGTTGAGTGGGCTTCAAACCACCTTCCTTTGTGTCGTCATTTCACTCGGTCTTATTCAGTGTCAAATTTGCCCACAAAATACAGCCTCCACAACCTGCAGCAAAAATGCTGTGAGGCATTGCATCGACTTGATAAGGGGCTATATTGCACGATCGTTGTTATAAATTTAACAGCTTTTTTTTTAACTGTTGACGCTCCTTCAGTCACATGACATTCCCAATTCCTAGTTCGTTCCTTGGCTGAATTCTAGGTTCCAGATATGATCCCTTCTTTTCCCCCCCCGCACACTGGATGTATGTTGTGTGTTTCTAAGCATGCTTCACTATAGCTCACTCACCTTCTCCCGTACCACACACCCTGTAATGCATAGCGACAAAGGGCAACTTCTGGGCAGGCACCAGGAAGTATTTCTTTAATTGGAGGGTAATTAACGACCGGAACAGATTGCCGGAAAGTCACGATCATCACGAGAAGCGTTCTGCATGGGCTCGAGCGCGAAGGGCACTTACGTTCGGCAAGTATCAGGGGAGGGTACGTCAGGTAATAGCCCAGCTCAGCGGCTGTCAGGTGGTGCAGCAGGCTGCTCGAGCTCGTGCCATTCAGGAGGACACTCTGATTCCTCACCGTGTAAATCATCGTCACAGCAGAGGAACCATCGGCCACAGACGCGTTCAGAATCTAGGTGGGGGCACGGGGGAGGGGGAGAACCCATGTAGTTAGTTGCCTCGTATTCTTAATAACAATCCTGGCATTTGATACAGCGCCTTCTCGTGTCTTCGAGACGTCTCAAAACGCTATATCAAATGCAAGGATTATTATTATTTATCATCAAATTAGAATAGACTGTAAAGTGTAGTTTTGTGGGCGAAGCTCAGCAGCCAATTGTGCCCAGCGGCGCCCCACACACAGTCGTGGATTGAGTGACACAAATATTATTTTTTTTTACAAATGTATTTATTGTTTTGAAGGGATTATTACTCCTGGAAAAGCGATCCGCCAATCGACTAATAAGCACATTCCTACGTACTGCGAGGTTAAATAGAGGAGTGCGGAGTAAGGAAACCTGTTCGTCGTTTATGATTGTGCTTTGTATTGAAGGTGCAAAAGGGAAAATTGGTATTTTCAGCACAGAGTCTCATCTGGTGCAGCATTGATATTGTGAGGCCACAATAGCTCAGGGACCAACTATTGTAACAAACTGCCGGACGTGGAATTGTTTGGACACAAGTAACAGGCTGCTGGGAATATCAGGTCAAAGCCACGATGATTCCAATTACCCACAAATTAAATGGCCCGGCAAAGGCTACCTCAGGGGATAATGCATCCACCGCAGTTATCAGACATAGGGTCTTGTTACATTAGGCAGCCCAGTACGAGCTGAGCGTGTCAGCTTCAGGGATGGTATTTACAGCAGTTATACTTGATGTCACAATCAGGGTAAAGCGCTCTGGGACTCTATAATGACATTAATAATAATCCCTGCATTTGATACAGCTGATCATGTCGTCGCGACGTCCCAAAGCGCTTCACAGGATACACTGTAAAATGAATTGACTGTATATTCTGTGGGCAAAACGGGGAGGCCGATTGTGCCCAGCGGCATCCCCACAAACCTTCGTGGACTGAGGTGACCAAATTATTACCGAGTACGTATGCACGTGTTATGTACCTAAAAATGACAAGCGGCTTCTCTGCCACATCCTGGCTGCTAAATCCGTGCATCCCATCTGCGCGCTCAGATCTCTGAACGTTACAACGTCAGACTCGGGACATCAAGGTTCCACTTTGTCACACTGTAATGATCAGCGGAGGCGATGAAAGCGTGTGATAATTCGCAGCTCCAGCAAATTGAACAAAGCATCAGATGTACATCGTCGACACACTGAGGTCTGGAGCAGCAGGGGAATCACACAAACCAATTTTCACTTCAGAGAATGACAAGAATTTAATAGAGCCCAGACCTTTGTAATGGAAAGCCAGACTCGCGCACACACAAGCAACCTCCATTTGATCTGAAGAAGTCAAGGAATTCTCAGTTTTTTTTTCTCTCTCTCTCCCTAATTCACTTAATATCCTGTCCTTCAGATGAGATGTCAAACTGTGTCTCCCTGCCTCAATGCCTGTTTGATGGTCGAAAACTTTTGAAAGATTGTTGTCAGTCGATTGGCGGATCGCTTTTCCCGAGGTGATAATCCCTTCCAAAAATAAATATCAATACATAATAATAATAAGTTGGTCACTCAATCCACGACTGTTGATGGGACGCTGCTGTGCGCAATTGGCTGCCATGTTCAACCACAAAATACAGTCAATTCACTTTACATTATACCCGTGAAACGCTTTGGGACGTCTCGAAGATGTGATAAGGCGCTATATCAAATGCCAGGATTATTATCATCATCATTATTACGTGCTGTCACGAGCAGATGTCTTGTTGGCCACAGGTTCGGCCGTTGCCGAGAATTCTGCTACTCCAGGCTGGCTGACCAGGATCATGATCACACGGTACAATAGCTGCTTAACAGCACTCTCTGATTACATTTGGTTCTAATTTTTCTCCCAAATGCTCATGGCCTCTGGAGAGAGAACGGTTGGTCACCATGAGTCAATACAAGCAGCAATTGCGGCTGTGTTTTGGCTCAGCACGACAGTTGGCACCGGTGTCACAGTTAATGCCTGCTAACGGAAGGTCGCATTTCTGTAGCCTTGTGAATTCTTGTCGCCTGCTGAAAGCTGAATTTTAATTTCAATGAGTAATTAGCCTTTTAGCAGCAGTCTGTCTAGTTTCCGTGTCAGGTTGTTATTAGTACGTTTGCAGAGGAATGAGTCACACAAGCCACAGAGTTGTACCCTCTGGAGTTTTCCGCATTGGTTTATTCACGTCTTTCGGAGATTTGGGGTGGGTGGGGTGGGAGTGGGGATTTATGAATGTATGATCACCGGTCGTGCTAATCATCACATCGAGTACTGCAAACCTCCGCTAATTGGGAATTGGGTCTGAAATACCACCCCCACGCTAATTCCTCTCACCCGAAATTTACAGAGAAACAGACGGAGTGATAAGCCACCCGTCTCACTGGTGACGCAGATTGCCACCGCTGGATATTTTTACACATAAAAGCACCTCGCTGCATCAGTTGGAGACTCATGAACGTATACAGTCTAGTCTGACATCCCATGGCATGGTGGGCTGTACTGTATTGTTGGAGGTGCTGTCCTTCACATTCGATGTTAAACCCAGGTTGTTTGTTGATGTGATGTTGCCCCATGTGACAGACGCTATATAAATGCAAGTTGTTGTTGTGGTGGTGGCAGGAGTTAAAGGTCCCAATGCACTATTTGAGACAAGGAGAAGGGAGTCTTATTGCATGAAAGGGCACTTGACACAACTTTAGCTGATAATCCTCCCAAATAGAATCCTGCAAAGCACTTTGAGACGTCTTCCTGACGTGAACATTACCATATCAAAATGTGAGGGGTGGGGGGGGATAAACAAGCAAACAAACAAACAGACCATTTACCTGAATACTTAAGTTACTGTGGATGTTCGTAGTCCTGGACTCGGCCTCTTCAAATGCTTTCCGCAAACTTTCTTCCATATCTTGAACAAAGTGGCAGAACTTGATGATATTCGTTGCACTCACAAACTGCAGCACTGCACCACAGAAAAAAATAAAAGCATGCATCATCTTCAAACACAAGAAGCATCGTCTTATTAATCAACGAATGAATCTTATTAGTGGCGACATCATCTCACTTACAACCCAATTCTGGGAGACAGACGAAAGAGAGAAATGAGAGAGAGAGAGAGAGAGAGAGAGATAGCAATATGCTTATTCCAATCTTTGTTGTAATCGCCCACAAAATACACAGTCGCTTTACAGTATATTCTGTGAAGGGCTTTGAGATGTCTCGAAGATGTGATATGGCACATATTAAATGCCAGGATGATTATTATTATTATTATTAGTTCTTAATATAATAATGAGTCAAGAGATCTGAATGACGGAAACAAAAATCTTTGGGCAAATTGAAAGACATTCCTTTGAAGGCGATGATCAGCTGGGTTTACTCGCGAGGTCTTAGAGCAGTAAAAATCCGTCACGGTTTTACCAGCCGGAGAGAAGAAAGGGATCATTAAAATTCATTGCATGAAAGCGGCACTTGGCGAAATAAAGCACGTGCCCTAATAATAGGATTATAATGCAGCCTGTAGTATGTAACAAATAACCTTGCAATCGCAAGCTAAATATCACCTTCTGATATCCTTATGCACGGCACATGATCCCACTATCAACCCACAGCACACACTGCAGAATGGTGCAAGGCAGCAGCTCATATCACAGGTTTGACTGAGAACAATACATTATGTATGACAATATAATCTGGACTGAAGGCTTCAAATTCAATTGATTTTCTGCGGGGGGATGGGGGAGGGACAAGAGTTCTCTATGCCTTTTCCACGACTGTTTGTGGGACACTCACTGCTTTGCGCAATTGGCTGTCGCGTTTCGCCCACAAAGTACACAGTCAATTCAGGTTACAGTATGTTCTGCGAAGTGCTTTGAGACATCTCGAAGACGTGATAAGGCTCTATATCAAATGCAAGGATTATTAATATTATTATTATTTGTCTTTGTAAATCATAGAACAGAGGTTGGGGGAGGGGAAGAGATGCCTTTTAAACCTGGTGAATAACTGGAGCTCACTTTAGAACAAATCTCTCACTAAACCACTTGCGTTTTACCCTCAACTGTGCTGTCAAATGGACTCAACACATTCACCAACCCTACTTTTTAAGGTAACCAGTCACCCAGATCTGGGCCACCTGGGCTGATTGAGGTGAAGGCACCTCAATATTCCTGCCCCCGCGTTTCCCAGGGGGTATTAGATTATAATAATAACCCTTGCATTTGACGTAGCATCTTTCACACCAGGAGGAACATCTCCAAACCCCTCATGGTGATGTGGATTGCCAGGAAGGGTAGCTGGGACCAGGATCCTGAACGCACTCAACAACAACAGCTAGATGCTGTGATGGGAAGGCGGACGGCAAGGAGTCTGTCCTGGAAAGGATGAGATCAAATGGGCAGAAGAACCTTCATCATCCGAACCTACTGATCTCAAGAACAGCTCCAATGTCGGTCACTTCTCACAGAACCCAATGAGCCAGTTAAGCCAGTTACTCATTAACAATGGGTTTTTTCAATACAGTGCCTGTGTACAATTCTGTATCATTCATTTACAGTCCCAGTGTACAATTACGTACTATTCACATGCCAACTGCTTGCTCAGTTGGACCTTAAAGATCCCACACAACTACTCAAAAAGAGAAGGGACTTTTTCTCCTAACACGTAAATTGGTCATTCCTAATGTCTTTATCAGGGGAATCTTGCCGAACACATATTAGCTCATGTTTTAGCTTACAAATAAATTCACTGCGCGAGAGACGTGAGGGGGAAGGGGATAATGCAGGGGATTAACGAACAGCTTGCTCTGAGGTGCAGACTGAATGGGTCGAATGACCTCCTTCTGTGCTGTAAATTTTCACAATTTTACACGCCCAGCCTGCAATTCTCTATGAGATGCTTCACGACGTTTTGACCTTCTATATCAAATGCCAGATTATTTATCAGAGAGCAAAATAAATAATCTTTGTGTTTTGCAAGATTACTTATTTCCAGTTGTGTTCCCTGAACATCAACATGAGCAGCTTCAATGCAGATGAGAAAGCACCCAGTCGTGTGTTATGGATCAATGTGGGAAGGAACACAACACAACCGAGACGATTCAGCTACGATTGCTTGGTTCAAAACATACCTGTTTTTAACTGGAACCAGGGATCTGGGAATGGGACCCAGGGCTGGGCAGAGACGAGGATAGACTGAAGGGCGGGCACATGCTGTTGCAGGTCTCGGGTGAGATTCTCAATGCCGTAGGTTACAATGGTTTCAGTTACGGTGGCCGGTATGAAAACCTGGCCTCCGCTCACAGCATAGAACCCAATGAACACATTGGTCCTTCGCTCCAAGCTCTCGATCTGAAATCAGACAAACGGTAATTGAACATTTATTATTAAACGCCGTGGTTAGGTTTCGAACTACACGTGTAAAGGTTAATTTTTTTTCGATGCAGGAAAAGGAGACTGACCCGAGCCCAGATGTTACTGAGGTTGAAAGCTCGTTTCAGGGCTTGTGTCAGTCCTCTGGTCATGTTCTGCTCCAGCTCTTGTGTTCGGATTCTTCTCGAAGACAACGTCAAAACTGCAGAATGGAGAAAACTCTGGTGAGCAGCTTCTCTTGTCAGCTGAGAATTTGGAGTTCGTAACTATTACCATAACAGGCAGCATGGCAGAATTCACCGCACGAAGGAGAAGCACATCCCTCTCTGTCCCCTCATTACCCAACTGGGAAACACAACAGTATTGCAAACTATCTCTCCATAAAACCTGGAGCAGGATTTGGTTTCTGAGCAAATTGAAACACTAAAGAACAAACAGGGTGGCCTTTGCCTTTATCTCGTAAGTGCAGCTTTTGAAGGGAGGTTCATGAACACCAACATTTGCGCTTATGTTACACAATTAGACACAAGATCCTTTTATTCGTCGGATCATAACCATACCTGTCCTGACCCAGAGTCTGTCCGACAATTTGCACATCAGGCTGGGTGCAGAGGAAGAGCTGGTGGGTACCTCGGCTGTTGCCTTGGTGGGCAGCGAGGTCCTGGCCAGTGCGGCAGGGGTAGTGACCGACATCAAGGCCGATGTTATCATCAGGGTCAAGTCTGACGTTGACGTTTTGATCAAGTCTGTGGTCGTCGTCCTGCCGGAAGCGTTGGTTGTATCCACGGCCAGCGTGCGTGTGGCACCCTGTGTCGAGGATGTGGTCCTGACGGGCACAGTGGTCAGGGCTCGACCGGGAGTGGTGGTCGAAGCGGTGGATACGAATGGTGTTTGCGAAGAAACTATCGAAGTAGGACCCTTCGTTGTGACTGTGCTCAGGGCCTGGAATGGAGGGCTTAATCTGTCATCCAGATCAGTTGTCTTCATGCCCAATGTAGTCATGATGGTTGAGCTGATTGCGGTTAATGTGTGTAAAGGATTCGCTGATGTCAGCGTGTTCTCGGTTACGTTGCCGACAGTCACCGCTGTGGGATACGCTGTCCCCGGAGATGTTTGTGTTGCTGGGACATTGGCCGTCAAACCATCCGAGGTGGTCACGCGGGAAACAACACTGACAGAATCTGTACGGTCTGTCAGAGACAAAAGGGTAGAGGTTAGTTTGGATGATGATGGGCTGGCAGATGGCATGAGGGGTGACAGCAAAGCACTGATGGTACGGCTCAGTGATGGAGAGAGCCCTGTGACTCCCACAGGCTCTGACGTTGGAATATGAAAGCTTCCCGGGGTTGAATGCAACACAGTCCGAAATCCATAGGTTTCTGAAGGAGAAGAGGCTTCAGTGAATGGTGCAACAGGCTGGGTGATTGGGTCTTGAGCACTTACAATAGGTGAAGACATATAGCGAGCTACCGAAGTGGTCCTTAATGATAAAGGGGTTGTGTAGGTCACCACTGGGGAACCCGAGAATGGGGTCTCACCACCTGAAACAGATCTTGTCTCACGGTAAATAGAGAAAGGTAAAGCTGTAGTTATTGATGAACTGGCAGATCCAATAGAGCTACTGATATTGGTACCAGGTAAGCTGGACAGATCTGGGGTCATCTCGAGGGTGGGTTGTGTTACTAATGCAACATTCTTAGTCGCTGCAGTGACAAAGCGGGTCATAACATCGCGTGTGTACCTCGAGGGCTCGGAACGGTCTTTCTGAGCCCCTCTACTGACAGGACTTTCTGACACACTTGGGGGTGAAGCTGCTGAAACCATAGCACTTGGGGTCATGGTGGGTGAACCGGTGCTTATTGTGGGGGACGCTCTCAATGAAGACAGAGCTCCTATAGTTAGTGCCTTCGCTGAGGAAACTCCATCTGAAGTTGCAGAGCTAAAATCAGTGTCTTCAGTTGTGTGCCTTGAACCCTCTGAAATGTCCCTCTCGGACATTGCAGTGGAAGGAATCAATGTGGGTGTCCTGGTGTGTGTAGGCCTAGAGGAGGAGAGTGGGGCTGGGGTTGCTGAACCGGTTGATGAGGGAGTGGATTGTGATGGCAGAGACAGATCAGAGTGGGTGGCGAGGTCAGTGTGGCTGACAGTGGGATAGCCTTTGCTGGTACTGGCTGAAGTGCGGTATGCTGCATATGCAGTGGAACCAATGTGTGTGTTCAATGCGGAGTTGGAAATTGTTGCCTTGTGTATTGACGAGGAACCGCTGATTTCCGCTGATGTAAGTCTACCAGCCGTGGTGAGCAGAGTTTCAGTCACTCCGGGTGTTACAGTAAGACTAGAGGGATGGGTGACCGAGGAGACTGAACCCACCAGATGAACGGCAGATTCAGATAAAGGAAACACAAAGGTGGGAGGTTTGACTGAGCTCATTTTTCCAGCAACGATGGCTGCAAAAGACGTGTTCCTGAACGCTGCCGATAAGGACAGGGGAGAAAGATAAGGCGTTTGTAACGACAGAGACTCTGTCAAGGTCAATCTGCTTTGAAGCGGAGGTAGTTTGCCAGTCAGCTCTGCTGGAAACATTACGCTTATAATCGCTGATGGGGTAGAAGATGGTGTTTGGCCTGTCATTTCTTCCCTCGTTATACTTTTTGCAAAGGAGACACCTGGAGATGAAATTACACTGGAAAGAATGGTTGGTAAAGGACTTGGAGCACCTTTAGTCTGTCCTGAGCCAGTTTTGGCTGAGGTTACAGAAAGGTCAGCAGTGGGTACCTCAGGCTCTGGTGAAGGCAGTTCAGAAACAGTTGACAACAAAGCACTTTTGATTTTGGCCGCTCCTAGTAAAGGCACTGAGGTGGGAGTCACGGTCGAAGGGGTGACAGCCACGTACATGGTGGTTGAGTAATGAGATGATTGAGTTCTTAATGACCTGAATGAGGATGAGGTTGGTACTGTAGGGGTATCTGACCCAGATGATACAGCTGGAATGGGAGATGCTGGCGGGCTAGCTTGCGATGGTAATGGTGAAGGTCTGGATGGCGCTGGAGAAATGGGATGTTGAGCCAAACCTGAAGTCCTCACGGAGGAGGAATTGACGGCCACCATTCCACCTGGATTGGAAGAAACATATTCCGCTGCTGGTGCTGAAGTGACAGACTCGGGCTCGAGGTGAGCTTTACCGCGATCGATACCTGCAAAGAGCGAGGGAGAAGCTCCCGCTCTCAATGTGCTTCTGGTTCGATTGACAGCCTTTTGTCCAGTCCCTTGCGTAGGCTCCGACTGGAACGTAGCAACGCCACTCTTAGAGGTGACTGTTTCCCCGACTGACTCGGTGATCAGAGCGTCGGTGTCCGCAGGCAGTCGCACGAAGGAGGGCAAAGCTCGCTGGTGAAGAGGGCGAAGTGTCCGAGGCCATTCGGGAGGTAACTTGGATGTTCCTGCTGTCATTTGATCTGATAACTGGTAGGTCACATCTGCTCCTGGGAAAAAAAACCAAGCAGAACTGTTCTAGTTGCGCACCACCCACAGCTTTCATTTCATGTCTTCTCTTTGCACCCAATGACAGAAGTGAGAATGATAATAATAATAATCCTTGCATTATATATATATACACACACACACACACACACACACCAGAGAGAAAGCCTCTCTTACTCTGCACTCTAAGATGAATTATACTTAGAGCCATTTTAGTTCAGGTTAAGGCGCTTGAAATTAAAAGTCAATTTGAATAATTGAAAAAGCACGACAATGGTCAATAGTAATCTGTGCACTTAATATAACGACTATAATGACAAAAACATCTTAAAAGGGATTCAGAGGCAATCGCTGTCCACGGCAATAATAGCTGTATTATTTCTGCCATTAGTCACCTGTACTATTTCCATGGCAGTAAGTTGAAAGAGGAATTTTGAGCGAAGGAAATTTACTTAGGAAATGGTTTGGCCAAGCATTGAAATAAGGTGCTCAGTGCTCTTGTGTTTGTGTGTGTGTGCAGTGTGTGTGTACAGTGTGTGTGTATAGTGTGTGTGCGCGCAGAGTCTGTGTGCATAGTGTGTCTGTGTGTGCATAGTGTGTGTGCATAGTGTGTGTGTATATATATATATAAAAAACAAAATGACTGTCAATGAACACACAACGCGGCTAGATTTTAGATAGAAATGACCTGCGACCTCACATCAGCCATTTCAAATGCGAGGCAGGAGCTCGAGTTTCCAGGCAGGTCATTAGACATAAAGAAACAACAGTGACAGAAGCCCATCCTGGCAAGCAAAGCACATCACCCACGCAGGGCACTGTTGCTAACCGTGTACAGTGCCTCAACATGGTGCGCGCTGGAGATGGATTAACACAAAGCAGGTAATTCAAGGCCAAATCTTCCTCTAAAACTGCAAGTCTATCAATGACACCAACCAATATTCCTGGCTGCTCGTTAAAGGTTCTGCTTGCACCTGAGAACAATAATTCATCGATTAGCATTATCGGAGAGTGACAAATTTGGTGAGCGGGTGGGTGGGTGGGGGGAGATTATTCTTTATTTGAAAAGAAAATAATTGCAGCATGGATACTGAGGAGGAAAAAAAGGAAAAGGTCACTGTTATTGCAGAGATGCTGTTCACAGCGAAGTTACTGTGTGTTTGCAGAGGACAAACAGGCTGTCCTTCTGTGCCTGACACACACATAAATCCATTTGCACACACATCCCCCACACATCCATCTGGTGACGCGTCACTTACAATTCAATCCACAATCCCAATCCTCCTACGTAATCTAAATAAGAGCCTATGTTTAAATTTAACACCATTCAAACTGGGTAATTTTCCTCTTAATATCCTGTCAGTAGCTAACAGATGCACGTAAAAAGCAGGTTTTTAAATTCCATTTTTTTTTTCCCTGAGATGAACTTTAATTTGCCTTTGTATACCCGAGAGGACTGGGCGTGGACATTCAATTGTTTTTCTTTCCCCCCCTCTCGTGGAGCGCAGATGAAATATTAGCGCTTGCTGATTTAATTTGATGAGGAAGCTATTTATCAAGCTGAGGTGATTTGGAAAAAAGATCGTTTCAATGTGAAGTGTGCGTCTGGACTCAGATGGGCTCATCAACAGCCACAATAGCTGCAAAGCACCCCCAGAAGCTGTCAGGAGCTGGAGATTTGGGGTCAATATGAATAGGTCAGACATCAAATGGGGAACAATGCATCCCCTGAGATGGCTTGAAGTTGGTGCAGTTGTGTGTCTGTGTCTGTGTGGGTGTGTGTGGGTGTGGGGGGGGGGGGGGGGGGGGAGGAGAGAGGAGCTGCTGTAGGCACAGCAAAATTGAGACGTCCTTCCTGACGTGGAGGGAAATGTAACCTGCAATGCCATTGTATTGTATAAATCTCTTTATTACGTTTTCACAGTGGGATTCTCCATTCAAAGCAAAAAAAAAATAATGACTTGGTCACTCAATCTCTGCGTACGGAGCATGTCATCTCTTGTGTTTTCAGGATAACGTAACAAAAGGAGTTGCAGTATTTAACAGCAACTTCTTCTTCACCTCACAGTGCACTTCATCCTTGTCATGTCTTCGAGACGTCTCAAAGCGCTTCACAGGATACACTGTAAAATGAATTGGCTGTATATTTTGTGAGCGAAACGCGGCAGCCAATTGCGCACAGCAGCGTCCCACACACAGTCGTGGATTGAGTGACCAAATTATTCTTTTAGGCATATTACCCAGGAAAGTGAACCGCCGATCAACTAACAACCGGGTTCCTACTTACCTTGACTTTGATACCAACGGCCTTTTCTCCCCCAAGGTGGCTGCTGTGGCAGATGTGCAGACTCTGTACTGTATATCTTAACCCAAACAGCAATAATTCACCGCTCAACCATCTGGCTGACTGACATTGGTGCTGTAATATATGCTTGGGTTTTGTGGAAGCCAAAGACCTTGCGAGTCTTTGTGTGAAAGTGAGAAGGATTTCCTTTTACACCCGGAATTGTTCGGATGTGGGAAGCCCTCCTGCGTGCAGTGGTCAAGGGAGAATCCTTATTAACCTTCAAGAGGGAATGAGGATAGATCAATGTCACGCAAACAGCCAGGAAGCGAATGACCAATGGAGTTATGTTAGCGTGTGTCTATGTATCTTTTAAGGCTTGGTGTTATATTTGTATGTTTTTTTTGTGGGGAAAAAAAACATTTGCTCCTTTTGACATCTGGTTTGCATTTTGGTACTGAGCCAACTGAACCCCTCTCTCCCTCCCATGAGGGGAATGTCTTTCTCGGGTGATAAACACCTGAACGCCGCCAGATGGAATTTTATATATTGAATCGCAGACCTAATCAGTGGCAACATAAAAACATCCAGGCTATAAATTTAATGGTCTGTGGTCCAAGTCCTGACCACCTGTCTGAAGGCCTCGAGTCCTCTCTAAGGTTTATAATAATGTGCAAAGCCAGCAATATCTTATAATAATGTGTTCATTCAATCCACGACTCTTCGTGGGACGCTGCTGTGAGCAATTGGCTGCCGTGTTTCGCCCACAAATCATACAGTCAATTCACTTTACAGTATATTCTGTGAAGCGCTTTGAGACGTCTCGAAGACGAGATAAGGTGCTGTATCAAATGCAAGGATTATTATTATCATTATTATATCTCTGACAGTTCAGTGTCAATTTAGGCTAAGGCCCCAGTTCAGGACTGCATGTGCACACACGCACGTGTGTGTGTGTGTGTGTTTCAGGTGAGGGGGGGAAGTCACGGTTACTCTGTTTTTGCATACTCTATCCTGCGTAAATTGTACAATATATTGTACGGGGGGGGGAGGGGGAGCACTGCATTATCGGATGAATTGTTAAACCGAGGCTCCGTCTGCCTCTAAGCGTAGGAAGTTTCTCCTGTTGTCGTTGCCAATGAGCCCTCAAAAAAAATTGGTCATTGGCTTCCTGGGTGTTTGTGGGACATTGCTGTGTGTATATTGGCTGCCGGGTGTGCCTACAAATGCACAGTTTGTGGACTGTGCAGAAGTACTGTGCGTGAAGCTCTTCAAGGCATTTCCACATAATAAGGCACTATGTTAAATCAAGGATCATTGCATATTATAACAAGTCAATTGACAAAGAAAATTACCGAGGTTTCTGACACTAACTACATAAAGGATCTAGTTTTGGCCTGGCTTCAGTCATCATACAAATCGAGAACAATAACCAATGTTCAGAATTCTTGTGGTTCACTTCAGATGCATTATTCATTATGAATTTACACGGATCTTCAAATTGCACATGAATAGAATAGAAGCAGAACCTATTCTCTGCCATACTGCAGTGTTTCCATCAGTGCAGTCAGTGGTGGTTCCCTGCTCATCCAGCCATACAATACCACCTGATGTGCTGCCTTCATAACATTGGGGACTAAAATGCAATCCTGATAGAATAACATTTGTTTTGAGTCAAATCTGCAAAATTCCCTGTCAGTGAATCCCAAGACAGAAAGTCTGGCCAGTGACCAAAACACCAAACAACCTTGACCCTCGTCACTATGGTGCAGGCAGGTCTCGCTGCTCTCGTACAATACAGCAAGTGGCTGAGTTACTATAGCTACACACAAAAGGGAGCAACCGACACAAGAACACGCACACACACGCGCGCGTGCCCACGCGCACACACTCGCAGCCAACATGATTCTGAGAGCACAAAGGTGGAACAAGAGGGCCAAACACTGTTATCTTGCACCTGGGTCACTGGACTTTGAAAGGTTTACACGACACAGTGCCAGAGCTACAGAATAAAGTGTGATTGACACAGGTCCCAGGAATGCAACAAAGTGGGCTCTTAATATAGATATATATATATCACTTTATAATGGCTTATTCAGCAAATTCTCTGATCTGGCTGTAAAATAATAATAATAATCCTTGCATTTGTTACAGCACTGTCTCACATTTTTTAGACGTCTCAAAGCTCTTCACAGAATATACTGTAAGGTGAATTGACTCTGTTTTGTGGGCGAAACGTGGCAGCCAAATGTGCACAGCAGTGTCACACAAGCAGTTGTGGATTAAGTGACCAAATGTTTTGTTGTTTTTTTGCAGCGATTATTACCCCCAGAAAAGCGACCAAAACACTAAACAGCGACCCTCTTACTGCTGGTAAACAGAGGCGTGTGGAGTAAGGAAACATTCCCAGCGTTTTGCCCTGCCCGGGGGAATCAAACCCAGGTCCCCTTGTTTGCGAGACGAATGCTCTAACCACTGAGCTACAGGACTTTCATATTGTGAGCAGCGTTCAGCAATCATGTCTTTGACAATATTGGCTCCACTGACCATCAAGGACCAAATGGAATACGCCAGTTGAACTGAACTCAACTGGAATAAGCTGAAGTTAATAACACTGAATAATCATGACGTACTTCAAGCTACTGTAACCAGGATTGAACCCAAAAGAAACGAAAAAACAGACAAAACCATTGTTGAAAAAAGAACAGCAATTTACAT